GTTTTCAATCCTGATTTAAAAGTGGCTTCCAAAGTCAATTTAGGCGTCTCTCATTACGCGTTTATTTTCTCATTCCCGGTTTCCTCTTTCTGTCAGCCGGTGCCATTTCCAAGCAGCTCACATGCACGTGCTTTCTTTGCCTGCTCTACAGGGTTCAATCTTCTCTGTCGGTGTCCCCGTGTTTGCGATGCGCGGGGCCCCGTCAGGCGACGTGCACTCGTTGGAAAAATATACTCCTCTTTCAAGATAAATGCGAGAAAACAAAAAGGTCATCACGCGCGAAGAAAAAAATCGCTCGGCAAAACGGATATAATTGTTGAAGGGACACACAAGTATAAACACGGAAGGGTTTTTTTTTTTACAGTACTGCCATATCTCGGGAAACAAATTAATGAGATGGTGGCAAACGAGGGCAGGTTGCAGTTATTTTGAAAAATCTGAACTTGATTATGCGTCTATTCATACCAAAGTAAGGTCATTACACAGACGATCGGGGGAAGATGGGGTTTCGGATGGTTAAAAAGCCCACCCATTTTCAACTGTCACATCCAGTTAGCGGTAATAAGCATTGGGTTAAATCGTACGGTTGCCAAATTACACATCGAAGCACGGCTGATTATCCGTCTTGCTTGGAAAAATTAGGTGGACGACCGCATGTGCGGAAATGTTATTTGGCAAGGAAGATTCCTTTCCCTCTGAAAGCTGAAGAGTCATCGCGCAGGCATTTAGAATGTAAGCACAACAGCAGATGGTCACGTGACCCTCTGACACTTAGGGGCCGTCCATAAATGACGTCACGCGATTTTTGACCCCCCCTCCCTCACACGGCGTCACAAAAAGTCAGACCCCCCCCCCTCCCTCAAATATGACGTCACAAAGCTCTGCCCCCCCCCAAAACATATAAAACACGCTTCAAATCGCTTTAAATTATTATCATTGTAGTGCGAATTTAACGTGGCGCTGCACTCTGATGTTGTAGGAGAAAACATTTATTAAAAAGTCTATTAAATTAAGTAGAATGTGTTGTCTATATTTATTTAAAGTTGCGCATTTTGATGTGACGTCACATTTCTCAACCCCCCCCCCCTCGTTACACATCGTCACAAATGTCTGACCCCCCCCCCTCCTAGGTGCGTGACGTCATTTATGGACGGCCCCTTTGCAGCCGCACACACACTTGCAATCCTACTGACAATGCAGTTACACATTCGCACAAGTGTCATGTTCACCTTAACCTGTCCGCCTCGACAGAATGAGTGCAGGTCGTATGTACACTTTGTATGTTGAACTTCTTTCGCACCATACAAAGCCAACCGTGCTAATCGGAGGTGCGGAGCGTCGTACGGAGGATTATAATTATCTGACGAGAGAGTCAGCACTGTGCTGCAACATCTTGGCACTCGTGTTCCAATCACGAACAGCACCTCCGATTAGCACGGTTGGCGGCTACGTACGGTGCGAAAGAAGTCCAACGTACATACATGCAGGACACTGTTGTATTGCACATCAACGTATAACACAGACACATTTGTCAATACTCAGGTGCGTGTACAAGTACTCCTACTGCACGACCCCATGCCGTGCAGGTAGTGGGGCTTATCTGACCATGAACCACCGCGTTGGTCATGGGGTTGACGAATGCCGAGAGCGTAGACGTTTTAGCATAGTACAGTACAACAATAATTGGTATGCATAAATACATGTATTAAGCATGGTGGTCACCCATCCAAGAACTATCCAGGTCCAACACCTGCTTAGCTTCAAAGATGTAAATACATTCATTTACATCTCTATGTCATGCCACTGCTGGACGAAGGCCTCAACCACACCGTGGTTGTTCTTTGACCATACTTCACCACGCTGGTCAGTCAGAGTTGATGAAGTGGAGGTGGATGGGGAGGGGGAGCACACAGGACCGGTTCAGATATATCACTGGGACTCGATGCAGACGTGCATCGAGAACAGACTTTAGGGGTCAGGTGTCTACTCTGTGACAGCTGAGGGATCCTAGCATAAGGTGGGGAGGGGGATAAGGTTTGCTGCCATCATCGGCACTGGTAATAATGATCTCGCCACCTCGATAGGTACTGTATATGGTCACACGGAGGTAATTTGCATACCAAATTTATTGCACATTTGGCACGGTTGGCTACGTACGGTGCGAAAGAAGTTCAACATACATTGTGCACTGGCGAGGAGCATTCTGGGTTAATGACATACGCAGCCCACCCTGATGTGTCTGCATATGCATGTCAAATGTGTTTTAGTCTAACTTAAAACTTCGGCTGTACGTCGATGCTGTTGGATGTTGATTTTCAATTCAACAGAGTTTATTCGTGGAGTGGGCAGACATCCCAATTGAGGAGTTTCTTAAAAGAAAACGCCGCGTGGCACGGCGAGGCATATTAGTCTTTATATATGCATGTACTGCATCCATACGCACCGCGTGCGTGTGGATAATACATGGCATGCGCCACACAAGACGTTGAAGATCCCGAGAGGTGTAAAGCGTGTGTCGTGGACAACACTAACATCCAGTTGCGATGATGGCACGAGATGGATAGGCAAAACAACACAGCGGACACGCATTATAGGGGTAGTCTGCTCCGCGACCGGCATGCCACAAGAGACGTCCTTGGAGTGCCGCGGTGTTTTTTTTGGCAGAGGAAAGGAATGAACCTTACTCTTCGCAAGCCATCACATACGGACCCTCTGTGCCGTTCAGTGGCCGATCCAGCTCCCCCCCCCATACCTCCCGCCCTCCCCTCTCCCCATTGGTCGTGGCGCTGTACAGCAGATATCCGTCAGCACCCACTCCCGGCCCTCTGTTGAGATGCCACTTTTATCGTGGATTGTGTACACAGGAGGAGCTGTGGAAGCTCTGATTGGCGCATTCTTATATGAACCCTGTGAACTCGACTCACATCTGTGGCGAGTGATATCAGAATTGGTTGACGCCCCCCCACCACCAACCTGCCTTGACCTACGTGGTGAAGTATGGTCAAATACCCCCCCCCCCCCCCCCCCTCCCTTCTTCCTCCACATTCACGACAGAAATATCGTATCGATTAATGTCTGGACATTATTGTGTAAACAGGTACATACGAACTGTAATTCACATTGGCAATGGACGTAATTGTACTCTAAATAGATTGACATTAAACAATGCATATATGGCCAGGATATATATGCACAAGTAGTTTAAACATTATGTAAAACTGTTTCATAAAAGGCGATTTTTCACAAAACATTTCCAACAGCCATTTGTATATTATGTAAACGGAGAGACACATAATGCATTCCGGAATAATTCATTCAAGCAAATATATCTGGACTGATTTTTCCAGTTCTTATGAGTCTGATATCATGCTGTAGGGCAATATTCAACCTCGTATCAACCATTCGGCTCGGCGCATTTCGCCAAACACAAACGAGGTACACAAAAATACCACATTGGCGACGCAGTCATTTGAGAATGCTAATCATGACCCGCAGCCGCAATGCGGGATGGAGTGTGTGTGTGTGCACGCGCTGGGGATTTCACTGCCCAGGTGTGCAGCCACACCAAACAGACGCGCACGCGCCTACAGGTAAACACAGGTGTAGGTAGCGGAGTTAGCGCGCCCTGAGCTTCGAACTCGAGTTCGATTCCCGCTCACGAACAATAACAGTAGGGGCGGGGGGTAGGGACGGGGGAGGGGGGATATCTGAACCCGGGTCCTGGCGCTCTCGTAGGTAGACTCAGCATTAAATGAGAACCCTGGTGCGGTGTGTAAACGCTGTGTGGGGTGGACGTGCGTGTGTGTGTATTTGCGTATGGGGAGCGGTAGTGTAGCGGTGAGCGCGCTGCGCTACGAAACAGGCGAACCCCAGTTTGATTCCAGCTCACGGCCAACACCAGTGACGTTTATCTGAATCGGTGCTGGGCCACCCCTAGGTCGACTCAACCTCAAATGAGTACCTGGTGCGTTGTGTAAACATCGCCACTGGGGAGACAAAGGCGGTCGGGCGTGGTGCTGGCCACCCACCCCCTCGTGTGTCATTTCGGCCTTAACAGTTGCTCGCAAACTGTCCCAAAAGTCTGTTAAGGCTATCCGAGCGAACCTTGGTAACAATATTGACAGATCACGTTGAAGACCAGGCCAAGAGGCCATGAACGATGACAAACGAATGGAAAGAAATCTTGAAAAAAAAAAGTGCTCCGAAAAAGAAGCAGCGTGGAGGAATTACACAGACAGGAAAGAGGGACACGCGGATCTGGGGGTAAAAAAAAAAAAACGCAAATCACAGAGACATCGCATTGACCTGGGCGGGATAGTCTGGTGACAAAATGTCAGCCCGGGGAATGGAACCAGCGCGCCCGAGAGGACCAACCTCCTCGGAGATGGCGAAATGAGATTAATGGGTTCGCGTGCAGGAGTGAAATAATTGATTGTGGCACCGGAGGCCCGTGAGGGAGGGCGACTGCGTGTGTAGGTAGCTCTTCATTCTCCATCCATCAGTGGATAGACCATGGCTCACGATTTTGTTAAAGATCCCCCCTCAAGACCATCAGTCTCTTAATCAAAGGACACCCAACACACACACACAGATGTCTACTGGACATCTGTGAAAAAAGGAGCTTTACAGCTCATCGGATTCCTCCAGTTAAAATTCCGTATTCTGATTCAAGACTAGACATCTGTGAGAAAAAATAACTTTACAGCTCATCGGATTTCTCCAGTTAAAATTCCGTATTCTGATTCAAGACTAGACATCTGTGAGAAAAAGAGCTTTACAGCTCATCGGATTTCTCCAGTTAAAATTCCGTATTCTGATTCAAGACTAGACATGTGAAAATAAAGCTTTATAGCTCATCGGATTCCTCCAGTATAAATTCCGTATTCTAATTCTGACTAGACATCTGTGAAAAAAGAGCTTTATAGCTCATCAGATTCCCCCAGTATAGACGCAGAATTCTGATTTTTGGTCAACACACAGCCACGGAAGCGTGCACCCACCTCCTTGAGGATCTGCAGTTCCTTGCGCATGACTTCGCACGCCTGCTCCAGCTCGTCGTGTTGCTGCTGCAGGATCTGCTTCTCCTCCAGCACGACCAGGCCGTACTCGGCAGCCTGGATCTTCTGCTTGCTCGTCTCCGCCAGCTCCCGACTCAACCTATCCACCTCGCCGAGGAGCCAGCTCTCGCCCTCCTCCATCGCGGCCCGTCCGCGCGACGCGTCGCCGCCGATGTCCGCGCCGGCGCAGGGAGACGAGCAAGAGGATGAAGCCTTGGGTGACGATGTCGACGACGATGATGAAGACGACGACGATAGGGATGAGTAGGACGAGGTGGTGGAACGGCAGGAGCTCGACGGTGAGAAGCCACTGCACATCGTTTCGTCTCCGTGGCCTCCGGCAGTCGGTCGGCACAAGACGGTTACGTCCTGAGCGCAGTTGGCCACTGCGGTGCTATCCATGGTGCAGGACCCTCTTGGATGTCACGCCACGGGTGACGCCGGGAAGAGCCCAGTTTCTCTCTCTCTCTCACACCCTCCCACCCCGTTCTCTCTGTTGATCTAATAATCTCTGATTCAGTCACGCCGAATGACAGACTCGCTCCTTGCTGCAGCGTCTCAACCTTCAACTGCTGTGTCCTACTACAGGAGCACACAGGACTGCGCATGTGTGTGTGTGTGGTTATGTATGTGTGTGTTGTGTCCTTGAGTGTTTGCGCGTGTGCAAGATGGGTGTTTGTGTTTTGTTTGTGTGTGTTCTGTGGTCGGCGTTTATAGTTGTGTATGTGTGTGTGGTGTGCTGGGTGTTTAGAGCTGTGAGTGTGTATGAGTGTGCATATGATGTGGTGGGTGTTTCTAGCTGTGACAGTGTATGGTTGTTGTGGTTGTGCGTGTGTTTTTTTTTAGACGTGTGCTTAAGTGTTTGCGACTATGCGTTTGGTTTTTGGGTTATGCAGTATCTATGCGCGCGCGCGTGTGTGTGTATGTGTGTGTATGTATGTGTGTATGTATGTGTGTATGTATGTGTTGTTGTATCCGCTAGCGCAGTCCGTCCGTCAGTCGAGCCACCCGCTCCGTTGCTTTGCGGCGTTTACGCGACCGGAGAACACCGTCGTGAAGTGGCGCGCACGCTTCGGACACAACCCCTCCGCTGTCCTATTCCGCTCCTCGTTCGCTCCCCTCGCCGCTCGCTCCCCCTTCTCTCTCCTCGCTGGCCGGGCGAGCCGAGCGCCTTGCCTTCATCTCGCTTTAAGGGGGCGCGAGGAGGAGGGCGAGGAAGGCGATGGTGAAGAACGGGGAGCAGCGTGGAAATCCCTCCCCGCCACGCGCGTCGCCATCTGTGCGCGCCGCCCTCGCGGCGAGGAGCGTAGCGCAGTGCAGAGCCGGTTGACGGCGAGGGGGGGAGGATGAGGAGGAGTCTGCGCCTGCTAACGCCCCCGGTTTCTTGGCTGCACAGATGCCTATTCCTTTGGTGATGTCATGGCTGGGCCTCCCCCCCCCCGCCTCTCTCCCAACATGCCAGAGTGTGTGGGTGCAGAGACTTTGCGGCTCTGGTGGTGACACGTCAGCTGCCGGCTACAGCAGCATTGGCTCAGAGAGGCACATTGCACAGGGAAAGATTGTGGAGATTTGGATTTGGAGAGGGTCGTTGCGGGGAGATGATGGTGGTGGTGGTGGTGGCGGGGAGGGGGGAAGGTGGGAGGTCTCCTTCCTTTTTATTTTGGGGAAGAGGGAGAGAGAGAGAGAAGTCACTGCGCCGAGAGAAACAAAAGTGGTTAGCCCACCGTGCTTCGAACCCGACGGCTCCGGCTAAACAACAGGGGCGCGTGATAATTCTAAGACAGGCCTTGTTCTACTCACTCGTCACCAACCCTGATGGATGGTGGCACAACAACACAACACATTCATGACCGACATTGTATGGCGAGGCATTTATTTTCCATTCGTGGATTTAGAATGGCTGGAAGTCAAATTTTGTATATATTAAAAAGTGCGTGGCCCAGAAAACATGAATTTCCCTTGCTGCAAGATTATTTATCATTCGCCGTCTGCCAGCCCAATTCGCAGCGTTTAGAGGGCTTATCTTGTTCCTCAAGCCTATTCTGTATTAACGGGTTTGGAAATGTTTTCAGGGCGAGTTAAAAATAATCACCTTGTACAAGGCTAAAGGAATGCCCTTCCTTCCTCCAGTAATGTCAATGTGCAGTACTGTACATGATAGAAGCGTATACTGGATTTAATGTTTGCAACGGAACTTCATAACGTTTTTGAGCATAAGTCACAACGTGAAAATAATTCCCAGTGCTTCTTTTCTGTGCAGCCCAGACTCAGTGGTGGAAATTCCCCATTCCTATGACGAGGATTTTCAAAAGAAAACTTTTATAATTAAAAAACTTAGCGTGTTTACTGTACATATAAACTGTAAATAAAAATGATTCAGATATATTTAGGCCTACACGTGGAAATACAGTACATAATTATACTCACGTAGTCAACGAATCACGATGTCTAATTAGCTCTCTGATATAATTGCCTGCCTGTTCAAAATATGCAGCTGGTAAAGTCGTTTTTTCACCGCGGCGATCGGTGCGCATGCGTGAAAGTTTGGGGAGCATAGACTTGGGAACGTTGTGCGGTACAATAATGAATGTTGCAGCACACTGCCCTCTGCTGCGCGGCACGTCGGCCATCGGCAGCTTTAAGCACCCGTGTAATTGCACGTTGGGGCGACCCATCCAAGGAAGGCTTTTCAAGCTCAACGGCGACATCTAACAAGATGAAGAGGGTCTAACGACAGTGTCGTGAGGTGAGGTCAATGGCTGGGGAGGCACTGGCTAGTGTCAGAGCCAGATTCACACACTGAGGGGGGCGTGGCCTCACGGAGGGGGGCGTGGCCTCACGGAGGGGGACGTGTCTAACACGCCCCCATCAGTGAGGCAGATGTGATGGCTGCCTCCCCTGGTGCTTTTTCATTGCAGTTTCATGACGAGACCAGCGAGCCTAAATATCTTTATACATATACGTGAAATAAGTTACCTGGAGTATGGAAGGCGAGACAATTAAATGAAGGGGTCTACAAACATTACATTGGTGACATACTGAGATAGTAACAGGCACGTGCTTATTGCCCGCGCTCCATCCAGTTACTGAGGGGTTGTGCAATCAGAGGGGAGGCTGAGCTCGTCGCTGCCTCACCTCTCGTCTCTTCCTGTATTTGCAACGGAGCTTCGCAAATTTGGCGATTTTGACTATAACAATGATTGGAATCGTACAGAAATGACATTTATAACACAGATCAATGGAAAAATCTTAATTTTCATTAGATTTTTTTTTACTTTTCGTAACAGCTATTTTTCCATTGGAGTATGACAGGTGAGGCTCTGCCTAACCCTGCCTCCCCTGACCGCACGTCCCTAGTCTACGAAATAAGACGGTCGCGATCAACGTTGCCATCAAAGGAAATTATGAACAATTCCTCTCTTGGTGGGTTTCACAGGGTAAGCAGGTGTTAAGGGTGTGCCGCGATCTTCGGCGACATAACGCGGCGCAAAGCGATCAGACGTGGGTCTTTGACGGGACGCCGGGTCCAATGGCACAACAACAGTGCCACGCCATACCGCGCGCGCAACTTTGATCGCCCATTCACGCAATGGCACTTGTGACGCGCGCACAAACACCGCCGCCACGTGGAGTCTCAACCGAGCGCTTGTTGTCCACTCACACGGCGCCCACAGTGCCCTAGCCCAGGGGTGCGGAACCTTTTTTTGTTCTGCCAAGGGCCATTTGGACATTTCTAACGTCATTCGCGGGCCACACAAAATTATCAACTTAAAAATGAGCCTGTTATATTTGGTCAAACATTTAACTCGCTCCTAGTCTGATGGCTGGAACTGCTTCTCTTTGGTGAGGCGTGTGGTGATGTTAGCTGGTATTGATGATGTTGCTACTCGCAACTGCTTTTCCAGGTTTGCTCCTAGATTTATTGAATTTCGAGTCCCGCCTGCGGTTGCCTTGGCAGGGCCACACCAAATGATTTCGCGGGCCTTATACGGCCCGCGGGCCGGGCGTTCCCCACCCCTGCCGCCTAGCCTCTCGTTCTCCCATTCGCACGTGGCTTCTTGATGTGGTGACTCAATATAGCCCCCCCCCGTCCCATACGGCTTGTTTGTTAATCCACTTCTGGATGACGAAGGCTCTCCGCAACATGTAGGTTCCCGATTTGAAGCTTTCGTGACTAGCAAGGATCCATACTCTTTGGTTCTATTCGGTAAAGTCACGTAAAAAAACAAAAAATAAAAAATTCACGACGTTTCGGCCACAACACAAGTGGCCTTCATCAGGTGAAGGGACCAGACACTCCAGCGCTGTCCTCTAGACAGTCTGGTCCGAAACGTCGTGAATTTTTTTTTTATATTTTTTGTTGTTTTTTACGTGACTTTACCGAATAGAACCAAAGAGTATGCAGGTTCCCGTCAAGACGTTGGCAAATGTTTGCCTGGACTGTGTTGCTGACCGAAATCGCCCTGAAATGCGCTCGATATAGTCGGATGTCGGAAGCGGATCGCGTCTGAGCCTGGTTCGTATGCGTGACGGGCCACCAGAAGTTGTAGACGTGGCGCGGCGAGGTAGCCAGGTGGTGTGTGTCACCCCCCGAGAATGCGTTCTGGGTTCTGGAAGAGTCGTCACTCAACAACTATGTGGTTCTTTCACCTGGGTGCGAGATGCTCTTTCTGGGAGTAGCTAGACGTGGTCAGATTTTCTTCGAAGGTAAATCATAGAAACAAATGAAGCACGGGCACGTAATTACAACTACGTTGTTTCATCAAACCTATGTATTAACATAAAACTTGTTTTTACGATTGAGAACCAAAGGTTAAGAACTATTGCTCTACAATGTATCGATTATAATCGATACTTAAGCTAATACGGATACGTGCATTGAACGTAAGCGCATGGGTTACTGGCGATTTGTGTAACTTGTATGCCTGTGTTAAATGTAGGCTAATGGCATTACGACTATAATGAGCCAAGAATGTCTGTGTGTAACGCGCATGACGTCACTCCACATGCCACACCCCCTTCATTAATATTCATAAGCGGGTGGATTTTTAAGCTCACGCGGTCGAGTGGAAATATTCTTTTAGCAAATTCGCTTTAAGTTTGACGTTTCTTTATTGAAAAGTGAATCTAATAAATAATTCTACGCTGCAACAAAGTGGATTTGGTGTCTTGATTTATTTCTTCAGCACTTGAGACAAAAGGTAAGTCTAATTTATGCTTCTACATTATGGTAAAATAGACATTTCTCGGTGATTTCCCAGATATTGTATCGAATTCAAATGTATTTCAACCCCAGCGACCGAAAGCAGAAGCGAATAAAGTATCAGAGCAGTGAATTTGAACAAATTGAAGGTCAGTTATATACAGTGTAGTGAAGTGTTTTATGACTAGTTTTGTGCAAGAATCACTGCCATTACATTTACACAAAATATACAATTATACTCTGCTCAATTTTTTCGTAAATATTACAGCTTCCGTCCTAGGACGGGCAAACAGGCTCGTCAATAAATTGTACAAAGGAGACCAACGAACAATACGAGGAAGTAAAAAACGAGATGATAATCAGACCGCGACCCGAAACGTCGCACCTAATTCCATAGCTGGGGGTGGGGGAAGGTTTGTAATAATAACAACACCAGAACTGTTACTCTGCTCTTAAGAAGGGGCATTGCCTGAAACGTCAGTTTTATTCTAAGGCAGTGATAACGACGGATGTGATTTGTTGCCTTTGTGCGTTAAATTACCATTACTATCGTGATCGATGGCGGCGGCTTTGGTAGGCCTTCATCCAGCAGTGGATCGATCATGACCGATAATGGTGATGTATTCAGTTACAGCCTTAACAGACTGTAGGGGCAAGTGCTGTTAGCGAGCACCTGTGAAGTCCAGGACGGCACACGAGGGGGTGGGTGGCCAACACCACGCCCGGCCGCCTTTGTCTCCCGAGTGTCGATGTTTTTACGCACCGCACCAGGTACTCATTTGAGGCTGAGTCGATCTAGGGGAAGCCCAGGACCGGTTCAGATAATCGTCACTCGTGTTAGCCGTAGAATCGAACTCCGGTGGCCAGGTTCGTCGCGCAGCGCGCCAACAGTTACACTACCGCTCCCCATTAAATTACACACACACACATACTGTATATTACTTATAAGATATATATGGGTGTTTAGCTTACATTTACACATGGTTTAACAATGGACTGTAATGTCGCATGGCTTATGTTTAAGGCTATAAAAGGCAATTGTATGGTTTAGGTTACTTTGGCTGACACGTGTTAAGTGGCCAAATTTGATCAAGGGAAAATCGAGATTACTGCACATTAAGCTGCACAGATGAAGGGCAGTGCATGCTAATTGCCTCGCCTTGCAGCATCTGACGGCGAAGTGCTGACTGAACACAACACGCACGCTACATGGCATTGCCTCCGATCTCACGCGCCAGCATTGCCCCCACAAGGTTTATTTCACTCGATGGTAGCCAACTCTTGTTTCCATAATTTGCAATCCTTAATTCCCCCCAGTTCATTCGCCGCTCTCCTCCCCCCCCACCACCATCCACCACATGTAAATGTGCTGAAATTAAAGCTGTCATGGCACAAGTGAATGCATTGATTAATCCCACAAACCGTAGTGATGCCGAGTGGGAGGCGTTGCATAAGCACGGGAATAACAACAGCTCAGCACAATCGTCAATAACACTGCCCAAAAAGGAAAATAGATATTTAATAGGCGACGTTTCGGACAACGGCCCTTCCTCACAACAGAGATATATTTCAGAGCAGAGGTGCAATGAAGAAAGGGGCATAACAGGCACGTTGTCAAATTTCTATTTTCTCCTTTTTCGGGCAGTGCTGTTGAATTAATTGCGATTATCCGTGTCCCACTTGTTGCTCGGTCACGTTTTCGGACAATAGCTCTTTGGGATCACGTGCGCGAACGTGGTTACTTGCCTCCACGTGGCGAGACAAACTCGTCGCTCCGCGAGCCACTTGCGGTGGCGATGCACATATGTAACCCCCCCCCCCCGTGGGGTTGGTGGATGAGACACGGATGGGAGCAAGGCCTGCAACGATGATGGATCATCACATTTGTTTAACACCTAAGCCATTTGAGACCGAAACAGGATAACTTCTTCACACATTTGGCAAATAGTCGGATGACGCTGGCTGTAAACACGAGCGAAACGTCACAGTACTCAAATTCTAAATATCGTGGATTTACTCTCCAACACACTGTTGTGCTGCTGATGTAGTAACTGATTGGCACGTTTTCTTTACGGGACAAATCTTGCTAATTGGCTGTGTCGGGTGGTGGCGGCTTCACGACACATTGATATTAACGCGATCTAACCCTAAAAAAATAACTTTATTATGGATCTTCACGATTTACAGTCGCTACTCGATTCAAGAACACATTTTTGTGTCACGTGAACATTGCGGCGCCTCTCGTGGCTGTCGAATGCAGGAGGCATGCAATTACATTTGAATGGAAATACCAGTCTCACATGCGAGTTAAAGGCAAGTACTGAGCGCAACATTGGATTTTAATGGGATGCATCGCTACATACCCAGGGTGAGCCCCATCCAAGAACTGCCCTGTGATCAGCGATCACTTGAGGTCAACCGAGATTTACATCGATTGGGACGGACGCAAGCTTGTTAAATCCCAGTATCAAGGTCCGTTATCACAACCCTTCAACCCCTTTGACGTGCGGCACACGTTTATTGCCGATAGCGCATCAACAATAACTGTCCCTCGCCGCCTGTAAAGGCAGCGGACAAACCCTCGTCATATCTTACCCCCTACAATGTTTTAACTCGTAGCTCCAGCTCAGCTGCAACGATGCTATCACCATCAGCAACCGTGGTTTATGCACGGCCGGATAAAGGCCTCCGCGTGCTGTGGCCATCCCTCACAGTCCTACGATGCCACAATCCCCTACTGCACATTAAACGAGGCAATCGCTCACCTCCGCAATGATCGTGCTTTTGGGAACATCCTCGTCTTTGGTTGTCATTCCATCACCAGTCTCGTCAATTGGCTAGCAGCCCTCCTGGCGATGTGTCCATCCCCCAAGTCCACATTTCTCAAGTCAATACGAGCAAGCCTTATTTTAGTTTGTTACCTGATAAATGTGCTCCCGTTTCTGTCGAAGTGTATATGCAAGCACGCTTCAGCCCCTCGCTTCCTTGCACATTTCAAGTTATTTTTCAAATTGATTGCTTCCGATCCATATATTTCCACAAAATAAAACATCGGGTAGTCGTGGCAGATATAAGTAAAATAAATAAGCAGACGGTCTCCGTCATAAATCTATAAATTGCAGAGCTATATGGAGACAGACGTGTGCATATACCCACGTGTCCCATACGGCAGAATACACCGATTGAAAATCTTCGTTTAAACATTGTTGTTGCGTTTTATGACATTATATATCCATTTTGTCGTTTAAAACAAGGTTACTGTTTCTCTACTTTACTCTTTAAGTTAAAAAAACACCCCAAGCAACCCACAAAACGACATCTTGTTTTGCAATTTTAACAAACCTTTCCATTAGCCCCGAATGCAATTGATGTATGATGCAAACGCATACCTTTACACACTGCAACACGTAGAAACGTGATGGTACTAGCAAATACACAGACCTCACCCATTTGGGGGCGGCGCAGACGTCAAACATAAGAGCCTATTTGAAGATCCTATGGCCGAACCTCTTCGCTTTGCTTCATCCTGGCGGCAGTGGGCGATCATAAACGAGACCAGGGCCATGTGAACCATGTCCGATGCACGATTGGCAATGATTACAGGACGATCCGCAACTGCAGCTGTGCAGACGAACTTCACACAATGGAACACATCGTCAACAGTCGCCCATTGTACTCGCTTATCATTGGTGAAGACGAAAGTTAAATCCGCATCCGATGATGTACTTGACGGGCCATCTAAACTGATCTACCCTTTTGTAAATGTTGCTATTTCCATACGACAGACCCACTTGGGTTGAATTTACTGTAAATGGAGATGTGAAAAAATGATTAATAGCAGGCGTAATGTTGCAATAATTGAATTTTAAGTGCAATTTTATTCAAACCACTCAGAACAATGAAGAATGGATAATTTTCCCAGTAGTGTACATTCTGCAGACCTGGCTTACCTATATATGAAAATAAATCACAACTACAAGTGTCTCTGCAGTAGCATTTGTGTTGAGAGCCACTTTCTTTTCACAGATGCTGATAAATAAACATGACTCCTGCTAGAACGCTCGTTGGCAACGCCACACCTCGCACAACCACTCAAGACAGTCTTTGCTTTTCACATCTATGAATTAGCTATGTGCATTGTGCCATATCCCCTAATGCACGGATCAATTGACACCCAGGATTGAGCGTGAAAATTGGCCACCACGGAAGAAAGCAGAAGCGGAAAATGTTTCGAGATAGTGGCTTTATGAACGAGAATTTTCGCAATATTAAGCCCTCAAATTAAAAATACGTAAAATGTAAATTAACAGACTACACTTCCAGGTCACTCTTGCAACTTAGACTATCCTGGTATTTTAAGTTCTCACCTGAAATCAAATAAAAATCTGCATTTAAATGCTCCCATAATTGCTGTAAACGTCGCGCTGTGCGCACGCAAGGCTCTTGCGAAAACTCCAACCCCCCCCCCCACCACCGTGAAGACTCAGACTCAAAAGACTGCTTTCTCTTTACTGTTAATAGATATGTTTTAATGGCTCCAAGGCATTCCTCATTATGCCGAGGCTACCAAAGGCAGGACCTGCCCATGCATGCGCGCACGATCTTGCGTGTGCGCGCGTGTGTGCGTGCGTGTGTGTGTGCGTGCATGTGGACGAGAATGGGGAGACGGGGTGCTGGGCCTCATCAGCCCTTAATGACGGCAATGGGTCGCAGCTTGATGGCCTTCTTGCTGATGCCAGCCGAGTGGCACGTGTCCACCACATCCGTCACGTTCTTGTACGACTCTGGCGCCTGTCGGGTGAGAGGAGTGACAGATCAGACAGGATTCTCTTAGACACATTTGCTCACAAATGCCCCAGGATGTGTACAATAGGAGTGCAGCGGATGCATCGATTAAGCAACTACAAATGAGAATCAATTATTAATATTTACATCATTTATATGCCGTTACATTTAGGTTGATGGAGTGAACAACATTTCACCAATGAGACAGAAACGGCAAGACAACACTTAACAAGACGGGACAGAATTGACTCTTCAACTGAAATGCTCTAGGGGGAGAATCTTAACACGCCAACTGAAATTCACGATGGTGTAAAATAAAGAATTACCGCACTACTGTGAGACAATGCTATATGAGCATAAATGGGAGAGAGGGTTATCATGCAAACATTATTTGCAATATAAATAAGTGGCACAATAGGCCCTTTGCCAAAAAACGCAGGTCAAAATGAAAGGATGGAAACACAAGTACTCAAAATTAACCGCGTGAATCGCAAGATAGGTAACGTGGTTACATTGCAATTTTGGCGACCGAATAAAAAAACAGATTGAACGACGCAAACACATAGCACATTCAATTAGATATTGCGGGGCGTGATTGGGCAGGTGGAGAGAGGTGCAGGAATTAGGTGGGAAGGAAGGGGGGTGGTGGTGATGAGCAGACGGGCGGGTGATGAGAGCTGCTGGGAGAGGAAAAACAAAACGCTCGCGCACGCTTCCTAAGAATAGCTTCTCCCGTCTCATACACAGGGGCATGCTGGAGTCACTGCTTTTGCGCAATATTCAGCACAAGTCGGGGGGGGGTTGCGAAAATTGCTCCAGATGCAAAAGTGTGTTGATTAGTTACAGCGTGGTTATACACAGGCACACTTAGTGAAGGTGAGATAGAGGGTAACCAATGCTAATGTAAGATAATTTACGATGTATTTCTTACGTGCTAATTATTAAACGGCTAACACTTTTCGTATGTATATTTATAACAAAGGGGAGGGGGGATAGCGGTGGTGCAGCGGTCCATGCAAAGTCTTATTAAAGTGGGAGCCCAGGTTTCATTCTCTGCCAGAGCTAACGTCGGTGGTGAGTGCTATCTGAACTGCTCATATCATCCGCTCCTTACCCTTCACTCACTCGACATGACCGGCACGGTGAAGTAGTGAAACAAGCTCCACAATGTGGGAAGGCTTTCATCCAACAGCAGATCGACATAGGGACGTATATTTCTCATAACAGGATTGCAAAATGCACAGTAAATATACACGTGCAGGCATGTACACATACACACATGATGGGCGACGTTCGCAATTTCCCCTGCTGTTGAGGTGTTCAGACACTCAACAAGGAGAGTGGAACATGCAGAACATGTTAATTAAGTGTATGCATCATCAGTGCAATTCATCATACCAGAAACAATCCCATGCTTCACCGGTTTAGCAACAAAAACCTTCATTTCCCAGACCTCCTAACTTGCTTGAATTGAATCTTGACAACAGAGTGCAGTGGAAATATGCAGAGTGCTTGGTTTCTATTTCCAGCTAAAGCTGCGTCCACACCGGCAAGTAACCACAGTAGCTAATTTCCCATGTCGAGGGGAGAAAATTGAAAGGAGTGATATTCTTGTTCTCATTGTAATAGACCAATTCCAAGTGATATATAAGCCTTAAAACTTGGTAAACAGTACATGAGATAGACTCAGTGTGTGCACGATATGGAGGGGTGGGGGGGGGGTTAGAGGTGTTGCAGTGGTTAAATCATTGTGCGATAAACTCAGAGACCCGAGTTTGATTTCCAGCCACTTCTAACATCGGTCTAGAATGATATCTGAATCGGTCCTGGGCTCCCTCTTCACCAAACCGCGCTGACTGGCCAGGTGATTTATTTTTCGAAGAACTCCATCAGTGACACACCACAGGGATGCTTTTATCGAGCGGTGAATTGAGAAAGGGCTGCAAATAATTATTCTTATTTTTGTGCATTTTATTGCACAGCAACACATTTTTGCTGTCACCAACCACTACTTATTAAGAAATTAATTTATCCACTCGTTACGAGAGGTTAAGAATGTATAATGGTCAATGCAGGGAACCCAGGGAAACCCAGAAATGTTTCAGATATCACTCACCACTGATGTTCGCCATGGCTGGCAATCAAACTCGGGTAACTTGGTTCAATGCTCTAACCACTGCATTAACCATCCCAATCACCCTTTACTGGAACAACTAGGAAGTAAGACTATATTAACCCCGGTGCACCCAGCAAACAATATATTTTTAGACTTTACCAGGTAAGGCCCACTGAGCTATATAGCTCTTTTTCAGAAGCGACCTGGCTATCACAAATGATAGTTCAACGAAGTGGCTTACGATGAGGAAATTTAAAGCAGCCAAATATTCAAAATGCATGTTTCTAAATGTGGAGGGAGAAACTGGAGCAGGAGAAAAACACACACGACCGCGGGGAGAGAATACAAACTCAAAATATACAGGCGTCAGGGTCGGGATCGAATCCACGATCTCCTACATACCAGGCGAGGTAGTTAACATCTCGACACCATGGCGCCCCTACACACGGGTCAACTTATCTTGTGGAAACACAGGACCCTAACCCAATTTTTAAGAAACAATTATTTGGTAGACTGCCTCATAACACTCACAAACGCTGCTGCCAGCGTTGATAACATTGCTTTACCGCAAGCCTGGGGGGACAGGAGCAATCTCTGGGCTTGCTGACACATTACCATCAGCAGAAGCAGCAATCCTGGCGTGACTCGATACACGTGGGGGGGGGGGGGCGGTGGTCGGAGGGGAATACAGCCACGTGCCTCATATGCAGGAGAGATCACAATCGCGGAATCCTCATGGTGTCTGCCACACGACATTAAGTCGGATCAATCGAATGTCGCAAAAGAAACCCCAAAGTCATTTAACCGGTGTCTATTATCTGCCGTGTCCCCAAAGCACGCTCTCATGCAGAGCTGCCAATCTCTATCTCGCTGTAATGAACTGCAACGGCGTCAAATTCAAAATGAGGGTATTTTTAATTCGTCACCCCCACGAGTCTCTGCTTCTTTGGTCAGCATGCATAATAGCAATGCCTAAACGATGAGCATTAATATTTAAAAGCTCTGCAGACCAAAAAAAAAGAATGCATTTCCAATGTGAATTAATTTGATGCTTTAATGCTGTGCAAAAAACTATATATTATAGAGAGCAGCATTTGCGTTTCATGAAATGTTCTCAAACAGAAATTACATTTGGTAGAATAATCTGCCAGTGGCTGTACTTCGCTTTAAACAGTCAAAGGTTTTCACAAGTTCACTAAGTAAGCGTGGTTTCATCTCTCAGCACTTCAGATGTATACTGCACATTATCCTGAAATGAATGTATAGTATGGTAATATCTAAGGAAAATGTGGCTCTATCTCCTTGGATGCAATAACCTAATTGGAATGAGTTTTAATTGTTGACAATGTCAAGTGCAAATGAACAGAGCTATGGAGCCATCATCGAGGGGATTTCTGGTCGGTTCCGTAAATGAATGGGAATTACAACGTTCAGGCAAGACAAGCTTATTGATGAGACAAAAACGTGGTAGGCCAATTTACAAGCGAAACAACACCGAGGAATGAGGACACAAGTTAATCAGTGTTCCCTTGGATCGGCAGGCACGTTGCCCAAACATAATTGGCTTGCACAGTGTATTATATTATTAACTCTATATGTAGTGTGTGGATATATACAACCTAAGGATCAAGAAAAAATATATGAATAATATATAATTTTTATAGGGGTGTAATGATGCATCAAGTCATCGATTAAAATCCATTTTCACACTCAAAAACACGTGCACAGAATCATATATGTGAGATTAGCCTATTTGATAGTTATAGATGTTGCACTTAATTAGTTAATGTGAAAAATAATTTTATAATTGCAGAATTTCATCAAATCTCCAGGGTAGGGAGGGGGTGGGGGCATTCGGTGTAAGCCAAATGTACTAAGTGCAATGCACTCAACTGAACTAACGACATAGAGACATGTCAAAGCAAGGAATACATATTTTCCAAAGTTCACGCGAAAAAAAATATACTTTCAAATTTTAACGCTATGCAAATGGCGAAGAATAAAGCAAAGGGTAGCGGCAATGAATCTCAGACAGAGGTGGTGAGTGCCTCGCAGGCACACTGAAGGTGACACTTGAGCCGGGCTGGCTATGGATCATTTCCCACACAACCTGGGGCGGCTTCATCAGAGCACTGAGCACAACAACCCGTCCTCATGAACACTCGAGCCACAGCCATCGTACCCTATTGATGAGGCCAGACAGGAAAGTGCTAACGACCACATTAAATATCAAAGCAGCGCGCGGTGGGGGCCTGGGAGAAGGTGGCGGTCGTGCGAGTGTGGGCCCCATGCCGCGCCCGTCGCTTACAATTTACGGCACAAGTACACTGCAGACATCAGCTGCGATGTCTGGGTTTACGGCAGCCCGTTTCACGATAATAACCCGGGGTTAAATGAAGGCTGCAAAATTGCGATTTTAAATCAGTTATGCGAGGTTCCTATATAAAGGAAAATACGCAACAAAGTGTACGAGGATGGCACTCACGTTCCAGCCTTGGATTTCACTTGGCTAAGCAAGGTTTTTTCGACATGTAGTTATTCGTGCACGGAACATTTTTGCGAGCGAACGTCACAACTGGGAGCAATGTTCGTGAAAAAAATTGAAGCTGTTTTATGGGGCGTGTGTCCGAAGCACGTTTCATCACAATAGCCTGGTTGTCAGCAGCCAATGGCGTGAAGTCAATACAGACGGTGTTCCGTACTAGTAAGATCAGATTCTGTACTGGTACCACCAAGCTAGCTGGTACTATTTATTACGAGTTAGTACTAGCGAGCATGAGCTAGCTAGTTGATGTACTCCCCTCTGTGGAGAATGTAATCACTGACATGCACACACCTACATCGTTCCAGTCTATTTCACATGAATGATAAATGGGCAGAATTCATAGGATGAAAAATTTCACGTGGCGGTGGAAGGGAAAAAACTTAAAATTTTTATGACTCATGACACTTAATCGGGAGAAGTAAAGTTTACAAAGAGAATGCTTATCGCCGCAGTGCAGTGTCGCCAAACTGCTAGCTTCCGAGGCTCAATGCTTCTTTTGACGTCAAACGGCCTTAATTAAAATCTTAACATTGGGTTGGCTTCAGTTAAGGTGCACGCCGCTACTTGTATGTATGTCGAACTTCTTTTGTATCGTACGTAGCCAACCGTGCTAATCGGAGGTGCCGGGGCCCTGTTTGTGTCAGTGGATTATTGCCGAGCAGAAAATGCAAAATTCAGCCTCAACACCGGCACAGCATGGCCTAGTTTTTGCATAAATGAGCGAGAGCAGGGTCCCTTAATGCCCACGTAAGAGCGAGCTTAACGTTCCCTTTGATATGCCGCACCAATCACATCACTGTGGGGTGCCGGATTGCGTTTTGAACCAGAACCGTCTTGGACGCGAGCGATAACTGCTCTCGCACAGAGCTTACTCCGGGTGCCCTGCTGCCCGCGTGATAGAGGCCAACAGCCAGAGAGACAATCGCGCACACTTTAACATTATCGTCGCTTCGGGAGAGTGCTGCAATGCATCACCCACTGGCAGGAACTCTTAAAAAAAAAATAACTCCATTCGCAACAGATGGCTCTGAATTAACTGCTCATTAGTGCTGTATCTCTAAAGGCATGTGGCAGCAAATAATAGATAATGGATGGGTTAATAACGAAAAAAAGCACGAGTCTCAAGCACACGCGTGCGGAACGGCTGGCATTTATTATGCCCGCATTCCGGGGAGATGGGTGTAGTTTTTGTGTTGTTTTTAAGTGGGTGATCAGACGGGGAAATGTACGATCTGCGACGGCCACTGACGACTGCCCAATTCAAGCAATGCTCGCTTCTGATATAAGGAGGGGGGGGGGAGGGCGTTTGAGGGCTACGGATGGGAGCGGAGGGGCTGGGTGTGCATGAGTGAGGTGGGTGCAGCAGGGGAGGGGCGGTGGAGAATGCAACCATGAGGACGTACCTCCTCCATGACAAGCTTGGGCGAGGCGACCCGGATCGCGATGCCTAGGTCGGCAAGTTTGTTGAGCACATCCTGGTAGTCCAAGTTGCGGCGAGACTTGGCGCGAGACAGGGCCCTCCCCTGTCGAGCATGCAACAAAAAAAACATGCGAATTAAGCAGATTATCGCAGTGTGTGTGATCTTAATTATAAGAAACTTAATTTCTTCGCCTGTGACTCCGTCTGTCAGTCGCACATCACTTAGTTGAGTCATTTATATAGTACAGAGTTGATCAAGGGCTCATTTTGACCAGAAGAAACAAAGGAATTATGGTGACCTTGGTCAAAAAAACCATGGTCAAATATTTTCACCATGCTACTTTTACAGGGATATTGACATTCCTTAATGCTTTTCATATTCTCCAGATTTCTCCGAGCTGAGAATTACATATAATTTGTAAAATAATAATCCGGGCGACACATATAGACATATGTGTCTACATCGGCCACTTGAGAATTTGGGATGGGCTTAATGCAGGCAGACATTATTTAATTTAGACTCAGGTCACTCGTGCAATTCATTTCTATTAAGGATTGTGATTTACAAAATGATTCATCCCATTCATCGAATGGGCTGGTTGCAGCCTATATGTATAATTACCTCTGAGTCAGCACGCTTGCCACTTAGGCATGCATGGGTACTGATTTCATCGGGGTGTTACAACTTTGAATATACCAATATTACATAATTTGAAATACAGTGGCCACGTGGTACCGTATAAAAGTGCAATGGCATTATATCCTCATTTGAAAAGCACCTGTAATTAATTTTAAAAACTTTACAAATCTTTTTGTAGGTATGGTAACCCAAATCTTTTTCGAAAAAAGAGATAATGTGCATTATATACGAACTGCAGATATAGCAAATGTCAGCGTCATAAAATACGAAAAGAATTCACACCTGCAACCTTGATTAAATATTGCACAGTTGTACGTACTATGATAACATTCTAAATTGAAAGTCAATGGGTCAAACGGCTCCCCAGTTATGGGTCATTGAAGATTTGACCTTTTTTGGGTGTCCGAGGTGTCAAGTTCAACCTTACAAGCCATAACTCCCGCATTTTTAAATCTCCAAAGAAACACTGGTTAATTTAATTAAATGAATAATTCAACTAACAGAATTTCGATTACTCGTATACTTCAGGCCTACATCATTTCAGAAAAGAATTAACTGCTGCATAAAACAGTAATAAAAATAAACATTTGCAGAAAAAATTGAAATGAATTTCTGCATGAACAATGAACATATGTTCATGTAAGAATGCCTCATTTATTTATTCGCCGCAGCATAACACGCCGCGCAATAGATTTCTCATGAAACTTGATTTAGGCGATGTAATTAAGGCACGGCGAGATAATTTCAATACCGTGCTGAGGAAAGAAAAAAAAAATTAACAATGGTTGAAGAAAATGAATCAATCAATTACCCGCGCAGGTTTCTCGGCGCATAAATCAGGCGGCGCGAGCAGATTTTTCGCAAGCGCGGCAGCACGGCGTCGCAACGACAGCGCCATTAGAACACCGCGGGGAAAATTAATGGATTCATTCATTTTGGTAATAGTCGGCGCACAGAACAAAGCATTGGCCTCGGATGGGGCTCACCGCTCCGTGGCACGTGGTACCGAAAGTCTGCCTCATGCCCTCCTCCGTGCCCGTCAACACGTAGCTGCAGGTGCCCATGGTGCCGCCGATGAGCACCGGCTGCCCGATCAGCTGTGCGGGAGGGTGGCGGAGATAAGACGGGACAGAATTCAACGTGAGGCAGTCAGGTGGATTGATGACCCAGCTCTCACCGATTCACTCCAGTCACCGATTCATCGGAAATCATTAGACTCATCACTCTTCTATGGCTACTGCCATTGATAATGTTCCCACGAACAGTAGTCCCTAGATTTCTTCACCAATGTTGAAGACTCGGGACTACCAGGCTGACTTGTTTTGTTTCATCCATACTGTGCTCAACAGCCACACTGCTGCTCACAACACCTCTCTCTTTACGCATCTTTCCTCGTACTGATTGACTTTGGAATTTACTTAGATCATGTCTTTTCTCAAGTTCATATAACCTTGGTCAATTCTAGAAAGGTATTAACTCTTTTCTATTATACCTTCAAGAGTACTCTTGCTAATAATGTCACAAGATCTTTAATGTCCGCTGTAAAGCAGAACGTGCGTATTTCTAGGGTTATAACACAGAGTATTAACCAGGGCGGCCGCTGGCTTCGAGCCTCTGCAACGAGCGGCGAACGTGCTACAGCTAAGCCATGTCACCGCCCTAATAATAACATTGAAGATCATCACGGGCCAGTGAAATTGGTGCCACCACTTCTTTCCTTCTGCCAGATCGTTCAGCAGTTGCATGGTTGAAATCGAACCTACGAGGTCTAACCCTTACAGGAGCCTACCGTGTGGACGCTATAGTGCTTTTCAGCAGAATCCAAGTAGCTGTTACAAAAAAATATATATTTTTTAACAGCCAGGGGCTGAACACTCAATCACGATTTGTCTTTTTTTTTTAAAGCCCAAGTGCTGCGCTTTGAAAATAAATAAATGTAAAGCTCTTTGACCTCAAACGAGGGGTAAGCAACAAACAGGGTTACAATTCTTCGTCCACATTCAGGAAAACTGACGTGCTGTGTCAGTCACGGATCAGACGTACAAATTTGCAGTCACGGTTTGAGGCAGTGCCTTGTCGGAAAGGTCAAAAAGTCTGAGATACTGCTCAGGCAAAAAAACAGTCTCCTCCACCTTGATAACACACGTTCAACACCCAAACCAGGGGCAATTCCTTCCAGAATATAACAAAAATATCACCACCAGATCAACATTAATGGTGGTAATCAATAGCAGATGTCCTATAGATAGACTTGTACTACCTGCCATGGAATGAGATGTTTTTAAGCAGTACAATATTTTTCTTTAAAAAAATTTTTTGGCAAAAGACCCCAATGCAGGACGATCCTTGAAATTGGTAATTTGGTCTTGAGGCTCAGTGTGGCTATTCTTCAGCGATAAATACATGGTACTGTTATTACATTATTCAAGAGGAATTGGCCACAGTGCAGAAACCTCTTTGAAAATAGTCTGAAGACTCATCTCGGCTTTTCTGGACAAATAAGTGGGACTATTATTATACCACAAGCGCTAGACCGCCGAAATTGATGCACACCACCGATCATTCTCTTGAGCATGGGGACACCGATTCTAGACTTCACAATAGTGGTATCTGGTTGACGAAATGCACTGATCTACTCCCACCCTCCGAGTGCTTTGATTGCAACTGCGGCCATCCAGCTATAAGTTGCTACAGGGTTATATTGTCAGCAGAGAGTATTGCGTTATGATCTGCACAGTGTGGGGCAGGCGCTAAGCTCGTAGTGGATTGCCAAAAGGGTTGTAAATGTAGATGCATATTGTGAACAAAATCATCTACTTGCATTTTTATATCACGGCATGGTATGTGGAGGCATGGAGGGCTGTGTCTGCTCAGTGGTTCGGGTCTAAAGGCACAGGCCCCTGCCCGCATACCTGGTAGTCGACGGGGATGAGCGGGTGGTGTGGGGGGAAAGCTCGTGTCGATCCCTTGCGATGAATGAGCAGCGTTCGAATCTTCCCATCCACGATGTGCTCCTCCACCTTAGCGATGTTGTGCGAGACGTCGTAGATCACGTGCATGTCCAGGTCGTCGGGCGTCGTGTTGAAAACCTTTGCAAAAGCCTGGACAACAATAACATGAATGACATTGGCACCACGTCGATAACACATTCTTGCGGAGGGAGCTGGTAGGAACGTTGGGTTGCTCGTTCAATGGCCAGGGTCAACGCCGGTTTGTGCCCGACTGTGAGGGCGGGCACAAGCCGGCGTGAGTAGGTTAAACGTTGAGTTTTTTCAGGGCACCACGGGGTGACCAGCCCCTCCCCACCCAGGCCCACCCCTCCCACCCAGCCCCACCCTCCCCACCCAGCACCTCCCCACCCAGCCCCTCCCCACCCCCTCCCCACCCTCCCCTCCCAGCCCCTCCCTCCACACCCAGCCAACCCCACCCTCCCCAACCAGCCCCTCCCCACCCTCCCCTCTCTACCCAGCCCCACCCCTCCCATTTTTGGATGCACGACGGACGGACACAATAATCCCCTGTGGGCTGGTGTAACCAGGAGGTTCCTACCAGTATAATTCCTGTGCTGTGTCCCACGAGACAACATACCGACACGGTTAAGAAAAGTAAATGGGCTTAGGCAGGACACACCACCGCGAGAAGGCGTGACGGCACATGAATGAGACTGGAGACAGCGAATGGAGAGAACGCAGAGATGGAGCCATGAGATCAGTTCACGTGCAGGGGTGAGATGGATTGGAGCAGCTCTGGATTGTGAGGAATGGTAACGATCCGAGGTAGCCTTCATCCAGCAGTGGATAGACAATGGCTAAATTGGTAACAAAAATCATTCTACCGTAATTGCTGCTCGTGCATGTTATACTGCAACCCTTTGATGTTAAGCAACCATCCACTGCGCCACTGCTTTGACAAAACTATACCTATTTTAAAATGGGTATAACAAAATCTTCAGTTCTATTGCAATGTATAAATATTAGAAGCCCTAAACTTGTATTACTTAGGATTTTGTGCATTGACGTTGTTGACCGTTTGTCATACCGGATCGTTTTTTTTTCCCACCCAGGGGTTCCCTTGAAAAAAGATAATTAATCTCAACGATTTCTAACCTGGCTTTAAATAAACCCCATAAATGAATTCATGAGAAATGAATGAACACAGGTATTCCATGGCCAACTTTATGGTAAATCAGAAAATATTATTCTTTGGAAAATATGAAGTCACGCCCCTTCTGTCCGAGGCTCCTGCACACGTTTTAACGAAAGCTTAAAAAACCCCAAACCAATCGCTATACAACTTAGCACACAGCTTACCAACAACCATTACCCAAATCTGTCTATAATATGGGTACAGATGGCAGTGAAATATGAAAAAAGAAAATGTTTTTAAAAATTAAAAGTGAATGCAATGTGATGCTATGCACCATTATCATGCGTGCCTGCGTTAGGATGTTAGCACGTAGCTTAAGTCACCGACCATTTGTGCGTTGGTACGTTTGCACGACCGCTTGTGTTGCGATCGAAACATCGTGGCTTTTAATTTTATTTTTTGTATTTACGTGACTTTACCGAAAGAACCAAACAATATGAATTCCTGGAGTCACGAAAATTAAGTCAAAATTTAAGCACATTTATTTATACATTTCGAACCCCCTAACAAAACGGAGTCTCCCTTAATCGACTGGCCCATCTGTTTGTTTGACAAATGATTATGTGAAGGATATCCAACTTGAGATTTTTTTATGTTCTCATTAGTAAGTAATAGTTGTGCTTAAAAAAAAATCTCTGTAGGTTAATAAATCTCCTTTTACATTTCCAAAGCCATTTGTGTGAAGGACGTAACCATAAACCATAATGTAAACATACGCAAGTCTGAAACAGTAAAATCTCCTACGCTTAAATCACCTTCAAATATGTGTCGCAGAAATCAATTATTATCTATAATTATAGATGCAAGTACGAAAGTAAAGATGATTAATTATTGGAGGTAGGCTTACAGGCTCATGCCAAGTACTATGTGGAAGAAAATCAAGGTACAAATTACAGGTGAGAAAGAGAGCTTCCAATTCAGCCTTCACTTCAGGGTCACTGCATTACTTGAATAATTTTAATAAAATAACAGCTGAATGAGTGCTCATTCTGACCAAAAAGTATTGGTGATGAGCTCATACAAATCGACTGAAACCGTCACTACGTTAAGCTAAAGGGTTTCTATATATTTCAAAACTCTTCCCATTTTTTATCTTTTTGACCTGTAAGTAAGAAATAGTTTCATAAAGGTGCATCCCAGCAACTGCTCACTCACGCCACTGCTGGGCGGAAGCGGCCTCCAGAGAGATCCTCTAGAGGGTATTTGTCCCACTCTTCCACGCTGGCCATACGTCTTAGAAGAGGCGGGAGTACCGATGCTTTACCCCAACACAGGCAACCCCGCTGATCAATTGTGGCATACAAAAATACATACGGTTGGGATGAGAGGCAAAGGGGGATTCAAGAAACTGGCGCATTTCTTCAAATGCCACGGTGGGAGGTTGCAAATCCAGTGCGCGCTAACCACCACAGCCAATGCATGATCAAGTAAATGAAGAAAGATACGGGTAACGTGTAGGAGGCAAATTGGGATATCAGTAAAGGAGGGAAGGTACATAAACCATGCCATCTCACGAGCGTTTTCTCGAAATTCCACAAGCGACCGCCGAGTAACTGAAGCGGACTACCACGGGGGTACCTGACGGGTGAGGAAAGTCATGGAGGAGCGGTTGACCCAGGCGTAGTTTCCGGCAGCGGCCATGGCTTTTAAGTAGTCCTGCCCCTCCTGCGACTTGATGCGAGCGCAGGCAAGCTGCCGGTCGTTCACGATGATCTTATCTCGCTTCATTGCCTTCTCCATCGCCACCAGCGCATCTGTGTGCACCAGCACAGGTTCAGTGTAGACGTTTAACAAAAAGGACCTTTTTTTATTCTCATATGAGCAGTTTTTTTTTTTTTATCACGTTCTTTTACATGGTAAACCTCGTGGAGTTGAAATTGCCTGCCTTGTGACGATGTCGAATTCACCAGACGCCGCAGGGTTTACAAATGTGCTTTTGTTTTGAAAGAAAAAAAATGCAAATAGGACAGAATTCAATTATCAGTGTGCACGAGTAACTATCCACTAACAAGTGGGATCCTTTGGAAATGTACAAAGCAAAAAGACCACAGAGTCCCTAAGGCAAAACACAAAATAATTTTAAAAATTCTCACATTCGTTTAAAATGCATTCCAAGTATCTCTTCTAAATAGAGTAAAAACATTGTAAATGCATCTCTTGGACACACGAGACACCGTTTAGTATAGGCCATGAGATAATAATAAAAGAATGGTATTGGTGACCTATGAGAGGAAATATCTGAAATAAGAAAATAAATCCATTATTTGATGAGGATGATATTCAGCACCCATATAATTACGTCTTGCACCACTACCAGTTTTCTATTTGTAATGAATCTTACCCTGCAGAGAAATTAGCGCGAGATTATCTTTTACATTTTTTTGCGCGCACCCGATAATGCATTCATAGAAATGTGTGGAATAATTAAAGTGTCAAAATCCGGCTCGTCACTCAGAAGACCAAGTGTTGACACCAGCCTGGAGCCGAGGATGCACTAATTGTGGTGGGCAAAATGCTGAGACAAATTCAGCATTAAAATAGAGGGGAAAAATTAATGAACGCACACATCCTCATGTTATTTCTGAAATAATCAGCTTCATTTGGCACATAAATTATGCACCACCAGGGGTTTTTTCCAACAAAACCGTGAAAAAACCGTGAAAAAACTGTGGGTGTTAAATTTTAAATCTGAAAAGCAATTATCCAAAATGTCACTTCAGAAGCTGAGCAATTGGAAGCACTTGAAGTGTCTGTAAAAGGTGATCTCGAGGTCTAGAGCTCTCACTTCTAGGTGCAGCGATCTTTAGCTCGTAATTCATATCTTGGCCACACTAAAAAAAGTAAATGTGGGACCGTTACCAAATTGCCAGCTTTTGTATGTGGCTGGTGATATTCCCTCAGCACCAGCAGCAAAATTAAGACTGCGTGCTGCTTTAAAGGGAAATTTTACTTCTGGCAATACCATGGAAGCATCTCTTTAGGACAGTAACCATTATCGACACACTCCCACATACATATTGAAATTAAAACATGCAACAATGCAGAGAAAATGAATTAACGCATTCATAAGGAATGCAGATAATTTGAAACTGGTTATGAAACCCAGAGGGGCATTTAAAATTAAAAGTTAATTCCAATATATTTCAATATCTACAAAACACAAAGTATTTGTCCACATTCATTATGACAATGATATTTATCAACTGCCTGTCCTCTTATTCTCTTAGGATGCCCCCATATTACCATGTATTTGTTTGCATTCCCATTACAGCACCTGCAAGACTATACCCAAAGAGTGACCGTGGTCTGCTGAACAGATGACCTTACCTGTGGCCACCTGGTGACCAAGCCCCCGACTGCCGCTATGGATCATGACGCAGATCTGCCCGGTGTGGTCGATGCCCATCTTGCGTGCGGCGTGCTGGTCAAAGATTTCATCCACCACCTGAATCTCAGCGTAGTGGTTCCCAGCACCCAGTGTGCCCAGCTGTAAGGGGGATTCAAATGCAAATTGTTATTCATCACGAGCTTGTTTGCCCGTCCTAGGACGGAAGCTTTATAATTGAGCAGAGTATAATTGTATCTTGTGTAAATTTAATGGCAGTGAATCTGGCACAAAACGAAGTCATAAAACACTTCACTGCAGTTCACTGTAGCACTGTATATAACTGACCTTCAATTTGTTCAAATTCACTGCTCTGATACTTTATTCTCTTTTGCTTTCGGTCGCTGGGGTTGAAAAAAATTGGAAATCGATACAATATCTGGAAAATCACCAATAAATGTCTATTTTACCATAATGTAGAAGGATAATTTAGATTTACCTTTTGTCTCAAGTGCTGAAGAAATAAATAAAGAAACCAAATCCACTTTGTTGCTGCGCATAATTAATTATTAGATTCACTTTCAATAAAGAAAGCGAATTTGCGAAAAAAATTATTTCCGCTCAACCTTCTCCTGCGCGAGTGTAAAAATCCACCCGCTCATGAATATTAATGACGGGGGGGGGGGGGCATGTGGAGTGACGTCATGCGCGTTACACACAAACAGACATTCTTGGCTCATTATAGTACTAATTATCGTCACTCAGCTCATGATTAATCCACTGCTGGATGCATTCACAAGCCACTGCCACCGAACAGTGCATGTGTAAAATTGGGATTTATAAAGTGTCTAAATGCAATCGCATTTAAACATTTTTAAATTGTTACATTGAATCCTGACTCTCAATTGTGTAAATTAATAGAATCAAACAGTGGGAATGAGAATGAATTGATACATGCCTCGTTAGAACATAGAACTTTACAGCTCTGAGAGCTCAATCAATCCATGTTCATTTGTTACACAAAATAATAAATTTTGCCAGTAACCAGCTAGTTTACAAGGGAGATCTAGGGCACATCAGCACAGAACAAACACAGCGTTATCCACTAGTTTCCGGCAGACAAGCAGTGTGAATCTCAGGCAGAGGGCTTTGTGTGTCAAGTTGGCATGGCAGGGGTGAGTGCCTTGGAAATCAAGCAGCCTACGTACCTGTGGTAGCCCCCTCTTCTTGGCCTTAGAGGAGACCTTGTTGGGGTCAGCCTGCAGCATCCTGCCATACTCCTCGCAGTGTTCTTTGTCCTCTGCCCAGGCATAGCCTTCGCGCAGAGACCAGTCCACTCCCATCTCCAGAGCCTCCTCCAAGTCCCTTTTGACAAACCACAAAGATCCCCCTATAGTCATATCGACTGATGGGGTCAGTGCTGTTAGCGAGCATCTATTAAAGCCAGCATGGCACTAAAATGGCATAGTGTGGCCAACACCACAGCTGGCCAACTTGAGTCTCCGAAGTGCTGATATTTACACATGGGCACCAGATACTAATTTAAGGCCAAGTCGACCCAGGGGAGGCCCAGCACCAGGGCAGATATCACTTGCTATTGATGTTAGCCATGGCCAGAAATTGAACCCAGGTTGCTGGGTTCATAGCACAGTGCACTAATCAATCAGCCACCACTCTGTTTTTGGCACACATCATAGCATAGTGACCTAGCCACTATGCCACCACTTCACTTATGACACACACGCCCGCACAGACACAGTTAAAAGGCATCCACGTCAAACTAGTTTTGCTCAGAACATGAACCACAGATGCGCAAATAGTCTTGATGGTGTAGCTGTGATCTCAACAAACAAAATGTCCTTTCCCTCTTAATGTGCTAGGCGTGTCCACGACGATTTGACAGCCACTATGCTACGATGAACAGTATAAATAGGGTAAAGCTTGCCAAGATACACCATTAACAATGATGCACATAAGCACACACCCTCGGGGCCCTGCTTAGATCCCCATTTTATTTCAATTACTTTGTGGAACAGATTGCTGGAAGAAAGCCAGACATGGCATGTGGTTGTGAATTCATATATTATTTTAGAAAGCCACATGAAGTCACAACATAGGAATTTTTTTGCCGTGAACATTTTATATACCAATTTTATTTTAGAAGAAAAAACAACGACAATACCCTTACAAAATTTGTTTAACACATTACGATATAAAGTTAGGCAATTTAAAATATAAATAGTACACACACATCACGCTGTCTGAGATCACAGCTCATAGCCACCCATGATTAACAGCAGAGGTAGGGGATATTTGCCTCAGCAAGGGCTAAACAGGACTTTCAAAAACCTTTAGCATGAACACATTTCTTTTGCATGATCCAATAATGTGAATACTAATTAGGGCTCACGTTCTTTCTAAAACAGTGTTACCAGGTCAAAAAAGCCCCTCTATTATCCACTTAGAGTGGCTAAGATGCTTCGCAGCAGCAGATGCATATCATTTGCTGGTCATTACGAAGTGGTAAGCCATAGTTGCCGCAGTGGTGAGATGTTATCTCCCTCGCCTGGTATGCAACAGGTCGTGGGTTTGGTCCCAACCCTGATGCTTGTATATTTGGAGTTTGCAAGTTATCTCCGTGGTCGTGTGGTTCTCCGGGTTTTCCCTCCACATTTAGCAACATGCGTTTAACATTATTTGGCCGCTATAAATTTCCACACGATAAGCCACCTCGTTGAGCTATCATTTGTTGCCAGATCACTTCGGGAAAAAAGAGCTACATAGCTCAGTGAGCCTTACCTGGTAAAATAAAATAAAAACAGTTAAATAAAGTCATGGACCATATGCTCCCCACCCCTGCATCAGAGAGAACTCTTGTGTGCAGGCTGCACTCACTTGGCACCCATGGGGATGACTCCCTTGGAACCGACCCCGACGGGGATGTGATCGAACAGCGCCTGCGCCAGCTGCTCCTTCACAGGCTGCACGTCGCTCTCCTCCAGGTTCGTGCGCAACAGCCGCACACCGCAGTTGATGTCAAAGCCCACGCCGCCTGCCGTCGTGTCAACACCGTTATTTATTTTGGTCACAGTCTTCGTCTATTCAACGACTGCCCGTGCAATGTTAGTCAAGTCTTAAGTTTGTGGATTTAATTTGGTATTTAAATTATAAATGCGGACTCGATTTACGCCGGAGACGTTTTTTTGCCAATGAATAGTTCACATTGAGCGAAATGTATGATTTCTGCAGTGCTTCATGAATATGTATTGGCGGCTAGCCAGTCACAAATGCGCTAGCAAAGTGCACGCAAAGGACAATGCTCCCGAAAATATTTCCACCATACCTGGCGACACCACAGAGGTGGGGTCTTCCATGTCGAAGGCAGCCATGTTACCAATGGCAAAGCCATAGCCAGAATGAACATCCGGCAAGCCAATGGATTTCTGCAATGGAACACAGGCATTGGTGTCAGAGAACAGCGCCTCCTGCTGTCAAGTCTACAGGTTGTGAAATAATGCAAGTGCCATCTCAAATGTGAGATGCAATCACTCATTGCCATTGCGACTGGTGATAACATACAGCAGGATTCTTCAACTGACAGGCCACATGTGGTCCACGGAAAGGTCTTGGAGTGGCCAACTGACACATAAATACAGACTAGTGAGATAAAAGAAAGATATGACAGACCTGGAGAATAGATGCAGATTAGGAGATCAAACAAAAGTAAACAAGAGATCAAGAAGCAAGGGGCACAGATTTGTGGTCACATGTACACAGCTCATGATGCCATGTGATGCCATAACACGTGGGCTGTCAGCACACATCAATTTTATTACATGGGCCATCGGAAAATATAATTGAAGAACCCTGCTTATGAGTATTAAGACCTTGGGGATAATGTAAAGAAAGCACCCAGGCATCTTCACTTCAGTGGTAACCTAATGCAATGGCAATTCAATGCTGACAAGTAGAGCAATGTGTTTCACAAAGGAGACAGGTAAGCTGCTTAACTTACATGTATAATGCCGGGCAATGCAGCCACATTGCCGATCTGCTTCATAGCTGGCAGAAATCCACCAATTCCTATAATGCACAATGAGACACGTTACTCACAAATGAAAATGATAAGAAAATGTGAAAAACTGTCACTTTTAATAGTTAATTGAGAGTATTTTTCAATATGCAATATCACAGTCACCACTTGCTATACCAACAAGTGGAACCCACCAACCAGGAATAAGTCTCAGCACCGAGCCAATCTCTAGGACTCAGACAGCTCTGGATTAAAACTAATCGTGTTAACACATTTGCCATTTGTTTAAATCTATTGTAACTAGCCTTTTGCCCGTTCTAGAATGGAAGCTGTAATATTTACGTAAAGAAACGTTCGCGTAGAGTTATTTATTTTAGTAACATTCAACAAAGAAATGTCAAATTTAAAGCGAATTTGCGTAAAAAAAATGTCTTGCTTATGATAGTAATGACGGGGGGACTATTTTGCAGTGACGTCACGTACGGATGTAGCACTGTGCTGCGTAGATTTATTTTTGACCGTCACTTTCTGTAAAGAAACGTCTTATTTGAAGCGACTTTGCGAAAAAATATATCTTTCCACTCGACCTTCTTCCGCGTGAGTGTAAAAGTCCACCCGCTCATGATTATTTTATTATTAATGACGGGGGGGGGGGTGCGGCATGTGGAGTGACGTCACGCACGTTACACACATTTCTGGGCTATTATAGTAGTAAATTAAGAAACACCGTCTCAGCACTGTGTAGTGCACCATCTAGCTGTGTCAGTAAGAAACTTCACCTCATCTTGCTCAAGTACAGAAACAGGGAGACTAAAAGCTATTTGGAAGCCCGAGGCAAAATGCAAGATGAGGCCTCCTTTCCAAGACGACTTACAATGAGGTCTGCAGAAAACTGCCCGACCTTGTGCCCCAATGTCTTGCTTATGATTACTTTGCAACAAGGTTCTAAAAACATGTATTCTTATGAACGTGATGCAGCGTTTGCATCGTACGGTTAATAAATCATATTAATCGAACAACCAATGCATCATGACGTGTCTCCTCCATTTGTACATCATTCACTGTACATATTTATTATCTCATTTGCGGGAAACAGACATTTATGACACGTGGCATGCACTTGGATTAATAACTTGTACCTCCTCCTCTGCAGGCATTTCTGAGCTCCTCAAACATGAGCTTCTCCAGCTGGTCGTTAACAAAGAACTTCCCTTCGACCTGCAGCCAAAAAAAAACAGGACACGCACCAATGAAGTGTTCTCTCTCTCTTACATAAGATTTCCAGGTGCTTGGTAAACATGTCTGTGAAGACGATTGTCAATGTGGATATTTAAGTCAATGAGATTTTTAAATATGTTTGAATCTAATATTGATATTTATATAATACTTTAAGACTGTATAACATACAGATTCAATAACTCAGTCTTAAGTAATCTTTCTCCAACAAGTACGGACAGATGCCAACACGTCACAAAATATAGTCCATGCATGGCAACGTTTCCAAGATGTGCTAAAATGATCTAAGATGACCACCAATTTTCTATTTAAAGCTTTCGTGACTGCAAGGATTAATCTTCTTTGGTTCTTTCGGTAAAGTCACGTAGAATGAGAATAAAATAATAAATTAATAAAATAACACAATAAAATTCTCACCACGTTTCGGCCACTTGTGTTGACGTTTCGGCCACTTGTGTTGTGGCCGAAACGTCGTGAGAATTGTGTGTTATTTTATTTCATTAATTTATTATTTTATTCTCATTCTACGTGACTTTACCGAAAGAACCAAAGAAGATGACCACCAATGTCAAACAATTTTAGAAACGCATATAAAATTCCACATTTGGCAATAACTGACTACAAATGCACAAGTTTACAAATGGCTATATACCCTACAATAAACTGTAATCATAATATGCAAGCAACACTATCGGATAAATGTATATAACATGAGAATCAATATATAATTGCATTAACAATCACCTAAAATGTGCAAACCCCGAATGTAGTGATTGCATGGAAATACAGTACAGCACAGCATTGCAGGTGTAATGATGATGTCACCCAAATAATAATAATAAACAAGTTTACTCTGTAGGCCCAAACTTTGGGCCTGTGTCCTCGGGTGTACGACACGAGTTTGAAGGTTTGTCCATAATAAAAGCAACATTAAAAGGTACGGACAAGCATGCTCGAGTGACTGAGTTTTAACACATCACTGAAGTGGCAATGATAAGATCACGCACTAGGTCCGAATGAAGATTTAAACGCATGTCAGACATCCAGGGACAAGCGACCTTATTGTTGTGTCACCTACAAGGCTCAGAGAGAAGCTAGCTGATTTTCGTGAATCGTGTAGCAGGATATCCGCCGTTTGTTGAATTGAACACAGTATTGAAGTGCAATATGTTAATCTATAAATACTATAACTTAGTTTGGTGATGTTTGAATGAGTGAATACAACTCAAGGGGACCGGCTGAAATAGTGAAGTTGATTTTTTTACTTTGAGAATTCGTTAAAACTGTAGTGTAGTTGAATAGAACAGCCAAATTCGCATTCGAATTTGTCACCAGTTGAATTTGTGAAGTTGAAATGGTAAACAATTTACTTTCTTGATACAGGTATCCCTCGCTTTATGCGGTAGATGCATTCCCAGGGCGCACAAAGCGAAGCCGCAAGAGGCATGTCGAATAGCGCACAGAGCACAAAGCACCCACAATGTTGTCCCACGTCCGAACGCATAGCCGCATCAGTGAATTCAAACCGCATATAGCGAATTTTGGTGAGAAACAAGTTAGCCGCATATACGCGAAATCGCGTAAAGCGTTATTTTTGAATAGAGTTGAGCTGTATTCTTAGCTCTTTCGGTAAAGTCACGTTGAAGGGAAACAATAAAATTAATGTTTCCCTTCAACGTGACTTTACCGAAAGAGCTAAGAATATAAATTACTGCAGTCACGAAAGCTTTAAATCAAGAGTTGAGCTAGCTGAATACAGTACTGCACTTCAGAGCGCAACACAGGTTTGAATATACGTTACAAGGCAGCATTAATTATGAACTCCGGTTACTTTTACCAATAGCAGACTAGAATATTCATTCAAACACAGCGCTGGGCACGCGACTGCAGCGGAGCCGCAGCTGAAATAAAGTGACAGCTGCGAGCCACGGACTCAAAAAACATCGTGCCCGGTGGGCGGCGCGTTCGCTGCCGCCAAGGCCGCGCCTTTCCCGGCCGGGCCATCCAGGCGATGCCGAGGCTTGGGCCGGGAGCCCCGGGAGTTTGCAGCGGCAGCAACAGCGGCAGCACCTGCATGTTGGGCACGAATCCTTTCTTGATGCGCCAGCTGTTCTTGTCGATCTTCTCGAGGAAGGCGATCTCGTCATTGTAGGAGCGGCTCATGGTGGCGCGTTCGTCGTCGAGTTTCGTCTTCGATCTCTGTCGAGCGCTGGGCCACGCTGTCAGCCCTCCTTGCGTGACGTCGCAGTGCTCTCACGATGTGGAGGGGGCGCGGGGGGGGGTCAAAGTTGAGCCGCGAAATGAATGAACTCATCAGACCGGGGCATGCGAAAGCCATGCTGAGCCATGTGAATAATTCCACGTACCGTGTCAGCCCCATACGGTTTACCCCCAATTCTTGCACGGGGAAATTGAGTTTTCAGGTCCGTACGGCGTACAGCCGTTTCAATACGGGCAAAAAAAGTATATTTGTTTGTCTTTCTCCCTTGTGATGAGACTTTGTCGGATGGACGTTGAGATTTATAAGGGCAAAAAGGGGGGTACCAATAAGGTCGGAATTGGTCTGTAATAAGGTGGGCACTGATAAGGGGTTTACAGGTATGATGCAAAGATGGGTGACCACCACATTATGGATAGGTTTTTATAGAGCTGTGCCGGGCAACGTGGTGGGCTGCAGAGGGCAGTGCCGCAAATACCATTGTTGTGCAGTACTTCTATGCCCCCCTCCCCCCACACTTTACCAACCCACCATGGTCGTAATGGTGAAGTATGCACAGTTGAAGCTGGTTCTCATTTTTTCCAGAAATTGATTCACTATGGCTGATGCTTTAACAGATGCCATCGGTAGGTGCTATCTTGTCAATGTTAACCAGCAACAAGTATAACATGTTTTTTTGCGCCGATGGCCCATGGTGTAGAGAGCGCACTTACCAATAACATGGTAATTTAGCGGTACAGTATTTGTCTACCACACCTGGCCCTTCTGAGACCTAGGGAGTTGGGACCAGTCCAATGTCTTTGAGACTGACAGAATATATTTTACTCTTTTGTGAACATGGAATTGAAGATTAAGTACTATTGGGAATGTCATTAAAACGTTCGCTAGAAGCTGTTTTCATTTACAGAAGCACTGGTTATTGATAAGGGTGGCTTTTATGAGTGGTCCATGAGATACATAACGGCCGTGCCAGAATGAAGAGAAAATCCTGTTGAGATTGTGTTCACCAGTTCATTTGGTGGGTCAGCTTCTTACTCGCGTTTTAATTGCAGTCAGTAGTTAATAGTTAGCATTCGAGGCTTGAAGACGCCCGATCAATGTGTTCATAATAGCTGTGATGCATTTAAGAACTCGATTGAAAACGCAGATTTAGATGTTATCAGCCTCTAAAATCAAACTACTGGGCTTTTGCCCAGTAGTGTGATTTTAATCTCTCCATCTCTTCCACGGCCTCCTTTAGCGTCTCATGCCTTCTCTCCAGAAACAAAACGCGATAAACTTGCACTGCATTATACCACTGACCATTCACTCAAGGATTTACTCTTCTCTAACACAAATGGTTATTAGGCTCATTATCTTTTTGCATACACGTTGTTGTAAATCTAGAGTAATGTACATGGGAATAAATATTTACAAGAGCAAAATTTTAAAAAACACATGCGATTGAATAATGCAGTTTGAATGTTTTATTTCAAATGTCTGTGCCGTACAAGTTTTGAACAAGATACACAGATTTCCATGTGCTCGTGGAAGTCAGAAAGCCCGTGAGGACCAATACAATTATACTGTGCACTGCATATGCAAGAGGATGTGATAACGTTTGCCAGTCACAATAACTAAGTTGATTGAAACAGCTCAAATTTTAATACTCTCCAAATTCGTTAATACTTTCCCAAACATACTGCAAAACTCTCCTGTTACAATGAGATTAATTCATTATCATTCTTTCAATAATCCAGGTAGCTTTGAAATCACAGTATAAAAGTACAAATATACATGAGCTTCCAACAATCCGTAAATAAAAACACACGATCTTCAAAACTTAGGATAAAAATAGTAAAACATTTCTGCAAATTTCCATCTACAAAAGTAGTGAAATTCATACAATTATTTACTTGTAAATTATAACGCCATAGGGAATGCTGAAACAGGTTTAAAACATTTTATTCAGTAAAGACAAATTAATAAATGCTATATCTCACTTTGTCCATAAGATTACCTCATGTACAAAATAAACAGCTTGCTACATCTAAAAAATGTCAGAAAGCTTGAGGCTGAACATTGAGTATTAAGAACGGAGAACTAAAATAATGATGTGATAACTGTCTTTCCTTAAGTACAAGTAATTTCTACATCACAGTGCCATTTTACTTCCAGTTTCACTAATTTCGAGGCAATGATGAATTAAAGATTGAGAGAGGCTTTTCTTGAACTTTCCAGGTATGCTTCATAGATGACATTGAGGAATTCATTATCGTTCTGGGGAAACAAGAGAATGAAAACAATACAATATGGTAAAGCAGTTGGCGTCATTTGGTCGATCACCATATGAAACTAGGCTCTAAGAAAAGCTGTCTCTAGTGTGGACCAATGAGTTTCAAGGACAATGCATAAATTATCAGAGTATTGTTTTTTATTTCCATTTGACTGCAAGTATTGTGGTTAATGTAAACATGATTCCTTGCAAAAGGAGTCAGTTTTGTTGCCAGAAAAAAGGGGAAAAACCCTATTAGTACAGTTAAAAGAACGCAATAGTATTTTAGAACTAAATTATAGCATTCTTTAGTTCGCTTCATATAATGTGGTAATGATTTGATATCAATGTTAATCTTTTAGAGATAATCAATGTGGGATGTGTGTGTTAATTACTGAGGCTGAATACTTGTCAAGTTTTAAATAATCTATTGCTGCATTGAACATATTAAAATGCTCAACTGTATCATATTCATGCTCAATTAATACCCATTGTAATGTAATGGTGTACTGTACTTTAATGTAATTTGCATTGTGAAATAAATTAACATATTCGTCACTACCTTGTTATTACCATAACTTGATTTTAGCTTATGCGATGGTATTTCAATATAGACTTTCAATATGTAACCTACATCAGTGAGTTTCAAATGCCAGTCAATAATGGCATGGCCCGTGATAATGTTCAAGCTTTATTCCACAATACATTTAACTTTTCTTCAAACCATCAAGAGGGCAAAACAAAAAATACCTATTCTTCCAATGTGTAATTGTAGAAGGGAGCGGGGTTCTTTTGATCATGGAACACATTTTCCATCAAGCTACAATAAGGAAAATTTTGTTTACATGAATGCCAGTGTAGAGTCCCATTTAATCCACTATTTTTTCTATATCAAAATCACACTGATGGGGGTTACATATTAAATGGTTATTTATTGCAATACTCAACATAGTTCTGGACATTTACTCAAGCATCCTTTGAGACAAACGCCTTGAAGCGCCAATACCTTGAGCAGGTGAATAAGGGTTTCCTGCAGGTGGGACCTGCTCACGACACCATGAGAAGTCTCGTGGGCCATCTGGGGAGGCATGCCTTGTGCAATGGGAGCATTGGGCGCTGACAATTTCACGGAGGACTGCTGAAATGTCTGCGGTGAAAGCAGGACTCCGGCCGCCATCGTCCCAGTTATGTGCTGTGGTGGGATGAGCCTCATATGAAGACACACAGCTATGGGTAACAGGCATCGTTACAACCACTGCATATGCTTGGAAACATGCAAATACTGAAATACGTAACAAGCCGTTACACAACATACTTAATCAAATGCACCCTCGCATGACAATCAAGATGTATATTGGTTCTGCCCCCAGTGTATAATTTGTCACATTAATTTTGTGTCAATGCTGTGCGACTTGTATGCTACCAACTGAGGCAAAGAAAAATGGCTGTAGATTAAATTACAAAAGATGTAGGTATATGCCCTGGTAAGCTCATTAACTAGATGTAATGATTATGCCCACTATACTTTTATCTATTTCATCAACCAACTTCATTCAACCATGTAGGGTATTAATCTTAATCTAAGTATATGCCCATCCCTATACTTCTACGCATTCGTCTCCATTTGCTTATTCGTGCATTTATTTATTTACTCATCCCATGATGAATACCTGATATTAAACATTATTTGTAATGTAGCTTTCATATGGAACTGATGCCCTGAATTGTAAAGAATGTCACGTTAGTAATGTCAATGCTTTCTATTAACATCACGTAACCTTTACAACAGCAATGCAGTGAACTCTAAAGCAGTATAATAAACTCACAGGAAATGGTAATGTGAGGTTTTCACGATCACTTTTTGGCAACTTTTTCAAATCCTCCTGTAAAGTACACCACACAGCACAACTTTGCATAATACGGCAACACTAGATTCACTAAACACAAGACAAAAACCTCAAAGACTCAACTTCTCCACTCCTCAATGCATCACATCGCACACAATACTGCACACTGGCAATTTCAATGCTCACCTGTGACAAAAGCGTCACTATGGGCCCTTGTGTTTCACTGCAACCGGTATGTCCAGGTTGCTGCTGGTGCTGCTGTTGGTGCTGCTGTTGGTGCTGGTGCTTCTGTTGGTGCTGCTGTTGGTGCTGATGCTGCGGCTCCGGTTTAACTATCTGCAGTTTCTGCAGCAAGTCAAAGAGAGGTGGCTCTGTGTTCGACTGCACGAGCCCAGCCACTGGCTGAAAGCCGTTCCCCTGCGGCACCGCGCCCGGAGTCTGTCCGCTCTTCAAAACCACGTGCAAATCGGCGGGCTGCAGCGCGCTCCTCAGATGAGGTGCGCCCTGGGATTCTGGGCCACCTGCTTGCGGAACAAAGCAGCTTCCCGGTTGCATGGCGGGCGCGTGGGGCAGCCTGACGTTGTGCCAAACCTGGCCCGTGGCAGCGCCCGAGTCTGCGGTGCTGGGCGGCATCTGCCGAGCTGTCACCGGGCTGCCGAAATCTGGGCAGCTTTGAACGATGGGCATTGCGGCCCCCTGCTTCGCGGGAATGCGGTTGCCGTGCAGCTTCTGCAGCAGCTGCTCATTCTCGCCCCTGTCTTTGTTGCACTCAACCACATACGGCAGGCACTGGTGAACCTGCAATAAATAATAAAGGGATACTGGGAATTAAAATGTTCCAAGAAATTACACATCTTAGGAATCAGGTGGTTTGAGTCTAGGGCACATTCGTAATGGCAGCTTGTAATTATATTAAAAGCAATAAATGCATTAAATCAAACAGTAAAGTTGTTAATGTTAGGTATATCATGGTCCTGGTTAATTTGTGCATAATGAAATTGTAATAATGTTATATCTGCCATCAACTCGCTTCACTATTTGATTTGCGAAACCACATTAACAGGACCATCCCTCTATACCTCTTGCAGAATAGACATGTAACAATTCACGGGTAAAAATCTGTTCTTACTTTCCTCATGTATGTACAGTTTGTGATCAATTAACGTGAACGCTGCAGCCAGTAGCGGCGCGACATTCACATAAAAAATATATATTTTTTAATTAATTCCAACACTAAGCGGCAACAATTTATTCATTCGTGAGGAGGGGGTGAATGGTTACAAATGAAAGCACTTGACACTCAATGACTCAGACTTGGTAGCAGTATAAAAACTATTAATAATTTAGAATGTACAGCCCTTTATCAATGCACTGCTGGATGAAGGCTTCCCAACACTGGGGTCCATGGGCACTGCATTGACCATACTTCATGTTACTCGTTAAGAGACTTTGCGAGGATTTTCTCTCTTTATTATTAATATTACTTCAGTATATACGCCTGGCCCGTGCTTTCGTTATATGGTCACCTGTGCGGGCAACTGACACCGGCCCTCAGGGTGTGGCGGCGGCGGCGGCGGCGGCTCGTGGACAGACGCATCGGCGTACGGCAAGTGGGCCTGCGGCGCCACCTGCTGGAAGCCATGTCTCTCTCCAGCTGTCGTATGCTGCGAGGGTGCAGCCTGCTCGTAGGATAGGGCCCGCGCCACTGCCAGTTTGCAGGAAGACTTGGTCCCCTGGGACACGGAGTCACAAGGGGCGGCGTTGCATCCACCGTCCGTCTGTGCGCATGTACCAAGCAGCGCCGCCACGCTCAGCCGTCTGTTGCAGGAGTCCTCTGGGGGATTCTGTGAAATTGGTTTTGAGTTGATTATTTACTTTTTCTGACCGATTAACTTCTCTCCAGAATGATAAAATGGCACGTGTTTGCAGCCACTGTAACAAAAAAAAAACTGACACCGTTACAATTTCACGTGAGAATGGCACACCGTGGGTTGTTTTGAAGTGACAAGCGGTGTTGTTCATGGAAGTGGCACGGCGCAAGTCTCGAACGTATAGCTCGTATAGATGTGAAAATTGGCTTTCATCTGTTTTGTATTCGTTTTAAAAAAACGGGATACTTAAAATACATGTATTACTGTTTTCTCTAAACATAAATAACAAGAAGTACATAGGGAATATATTTTCAGTCCAATATGTACATAGTAATAGGTTTTTACCCTTTTATCTGGCACAAAAACTGACACCTTTATACAAGGGATCATGTTTGCAATAACCACAACACAAGTAGTCAAAATGCAAACAAAAAAGACAACTCTGATAATATGCACTGTCCTTGAATTTGATTGGTCCACACCCGAGACGGCTTTTCTTAGAGCCCAGTATCCAATGGTGTTGGACCAGAAGACGCCAAAAGGCGTACAACTCAAAAACAGCGCACCATCAGAGTATTGAGAGCTCGGGGTAAGCACTTACATGAGACCTCCTTTGCCAGTAACAAGATATAGTAATAGGTTTTTACCCTTTTATCTGGCAACACCATTGGAGACTGGGCTCTAAGAAAAGCTGTTTCGGGTGTGGACCAATCAAATTCAAGGACAGTGCATATTATCAAAGTTGTATTTTTTGTTTGCATTTTGACTGCTTGTGTTGTGGTTATTGCAAACATGATCCCTTGTATAAAGGTGTCAGTTTTTGTGCCAGATAAAAGGGTAAAAACCATTTACTATATCTTGTTACTGGCAAAGGAGGTCTCATAATGCAATATGTACATGTGTGGCTATGTACAGTGAGGGAAAAAAGTATGTGATTCCCTGCTGATTTTGTACGTTTGCCCACTGACAAAGAAATGATCAGTCTATCATTTTAATGGTAGGTTTATTTGAACAGTGAGAGACAGAATAACAAGAAAATCCGGAAAAACGCATGTCAAAAATGTTATAAATTGATTTGCATTTTAATGAGAGAAATAAGTATTTGACCCCCTCTCAATCAGAAAGATTTCTGGCTCCCAGGTGTCTTTTATACAGGTAACAAGCTGAGATTAGGAGCACACTCTGAAAGGGAGTGCTCCTAATCTCAGCTTGTTACCTGTATAAAAGACACCTGTCCACAGAAGCAATCAATCAGATTCCAAACTCTCCACCATGGCCAAGACCAAAGAGCTCTCCAAGAATATCAGGGACAAGATTGTAGACCTATACAAGGCTGGAATGGGCCACAAGACCATTGCCAAGCAGCTTGGTGAGAAGGTGACAACAGTTTGTGCGATTATTCTCAAATGGAAGAAACACAAAATAACTGTCAATCTCCCTTGGCCTGGGGCTCCATGCAAGATCTCACCTCGTGGAGTTACAATGATCATGAGAACGGTGAGGAATCAGTCCAGAACTACACGGGAGGATCTTGTCAGTGATCTCAAGGCAGCTGGGACCATAGTCACCAAGAAAACAATTGGTAACGCACTACGCCGTGAAGGACTGAAATCCTGCAGCGCCCGCAAGGTCCCCCTGCTCAAGAAAGCACATATACATGCCCGTCTGAAGTTTGCCAATGAACATCTGAATGATTCAGAGGACAACTGGGTGAAAGTGTTGTGGTCAGATGAGACCAAAATGGAGCTCTTTGGCATCAACTCAACTCGCCGTGTTTGGAGGAAGAGGAATACTGCCTATGACCCCAAGAACACCATCCCCAACGTCAAACATGGAGGTGGAAACATTATGCTTTGGGGGTGTTTTTCTGCTAAGGGGACAGGACACCTTCACCGCATCAAAGGGATGATGGACGGGGCCATGTGCCGTCAAACCTTGGGTGAGAACCTCCTTCCCTCAGCCAGGGCATTGAAAATGGGTCGTGGATGGGTATTCCTGCATGACAATGCCCCAAAACACACGACCAAGGCAACAAAGGAGTGGCTCAAGAAGAAGCACATTAAGGTCCTGGAGTGGCCTAGCCAGTCTCCAGACCTTAATCCCATAGAAAATCTGTGGAGGGAGCTGAAGGTTCGAGTTGCCAAATGTCAGCCTCGAAACCTTAATGACTTGGAGAAGATCTGCAAAGAGGAGTGGGACAAAATCCCTCCTGAGATGTGTGCAAACCTGGTGGCCAACTACAAGAACTGTCTGACCTCTGTGATTGCCAACAAGGGTTTTGCCACCAAGTACTAAGTCATGTTTTGCAGAGGGCTCAAATACTTATTTCCCTCATTAAAATGCACATCAATTTATAAAATTTTTGACATGCGTTTTACTGGATTTTGTTGTTGTTATTCTGTCTCTCACTGTTCAAATAAAACTACCATTAAAATTATAGACTGATAATTTATTTGTCAGTGGGCAAATGTACAAAATCAGCAGAGGATCAAATACTTTTTTCCCCTCACTGTATGTGCAATGCTTAAGACATACTGCCACTTGTTGATGCGTCAAACTTGTCATTGGGGCAACGGCGAGTATCTCTGTGGTGCCAGGGGCACCGGCTGCATTTGTTTCCTGTCCCGGTCTCGTCTGTGAATCAATGAGAACAAAAATATATAAAAAATATCCAGAGGCACCGCTGACAAAGATATATATTTGAACTAAAATGCTGCAAATTACCCTATTTGTATTCAACAAGATGATGGCTGATGATGACCAAACACAACTGTATTGTGTAATGTTTGTCTTTACCCCAATTTTTGTTTACAATTGTGCGACCGATGCCGTGTCTTGAGACGCAGTATCCATTCGTATATCTAGCAAAGTAATGTATCCCTTCATGTTAAGAGATTGGCCCAGGGAAGTGGATATCACGGAGATACCGGATATCCCTTCAAGTGACTTCTGGTCCACACATTAGGGGGCAGCAAATCCCCACCCGCTCTTAGAGAGACATATGTTCGGAACATAGATGGACTCGTCCATCTATGTTCTGAACATAGATGGACTCGTCCACCTGAATAACGGCCAAATTGCTCTCCGTGGTGCTAACGTTAAAAAAACCGCCACTTTTTTTCAAATTTTCTTGCTGTGGTTTTCACACCTGATGATGATTGCTTGTGTTGCAGTCGAAACATCGTGAGAATTGTATTGTTTTAGATTTTTATTGTTTCCCTTCTACGTGACTTTACCGAAAGAACCAAGAATATGAATCCCTGCAGTCACGATAGCTTTAAATCAAAATTTATATTTATTTTACCAGGTAAGGCCCACTGTGCTTTGTATATCTCTTTTTCAGAAGCGACCTGGCCACAAATGATAGCTCAGAAAAGTAGCTTATCATGTGGATATTTATAGCAGCCAAACACTCTAAACGCATGTTTCTAAATTTAGAGGGAAAAACCAGAGGACTCGGGAAAAAAAAAATCCACACCACAGGGAGAACATGCAAACTCCAAATACAGGCCTTAGCGTCAGAATTGAACCCACGAGAGCTCCAGTATACTAGGCGATGTAGTTAACACGTCGCCACCGTAGTACCTACGTTTAATCACAGGTGGCTGCCGGGACTTGAAGCCAGCTCAGCAGTGCCAGTTTAGTGCTCTGACCTCTGCGCCACCTATCAGAGGACCGTATTTAAGAGAACTTGATGATTGGCAACTAAATTTTGATTTAAAGCTTTCGTGACTGCAGTAATTCATATTCTTAGTTTTTTCGGTAAAGTCACGTTGAAGAGAAACAACAAAATAATAAAATATATATAAAACAATAAAAAATTCTCACGACGTTTCGACCATAACTCAAACGGTCATCTTCAGGTGTGTTGGTTTGAAGATGACCGTTTGAGTTATGGTCGAAACGTCGTGATAATTTTTTATTGTTATATATATTTTATTATTTTGTTGTTTCTCTTCAACGTGACTTTACCGAAAAAACTAAGAATATGATTGGCAACTAGTTTGTGTGTCATGTGTGCTGACCTGCTGGTACACCTCCCGTGCTCGGTTCAGCATCTCCAGGATATTAACAGATTTCTCTGTGCATGCTTCACGACTCTCTGTGCTTTTCCCACTCGATTTTTGAGCTAGCCTGCATTGTGGACAGAGCAAGGACATGCACAATCGATTTCCATTGCACATTTATAGTGCGGAAAAAATATTGACTGTGTGTGACCATTTCCATATACTAATACTATTTAATATGTGTAGTGTCTAAATATGACATCTCAGAATGCTGTACAAAAAGTGGGCATATTTATTTTATCGGTAGAAAAAGACGCAGTCATAAGCAGATGAAAAAACCAAGGGTATTAAGCCTGGACTTCAACAGGGTCAGGGAGTCGACAGCACAGATGAATATGGGGAAGGGAATCCCAGACTGAGGGCAGCAAAGAAACTGGGCTTTGACAGAAAGCCTTGTTGCTGGAGCAGAAAGTGTGTGGAGGTGAGATGACGGCAGGGGTGGAGGAGGGGAGATTGGCAGGGGCGAGATCACGGGGGATGTTGAAAACGAAAGTGCTGTTTCAAAATGTTTCCCAAATTAGATTTGGAGCTAGTCAAATGATTGGGAGTATTGGTGTGATGTGGTCTCATTGATGTGTACGGGTGATTGAGCTGATCAGGAATGTTCTTCTGTCGTGAATTTTGTTAGGAGCTGGCTTGGTAAGGGGAAGAGTTAATAACACCCCACACACTCAATCAGCTTTGATAGACAGAGCCACTCTGCAATCATATAGTCAAATGTTCTATTAACGTGACAAAGTTTATCCCAAAGCACATGTTTGCATCATATTTCAAAAAAATAACTGTGTGCAGTGTAAATGTGCTTCCAATCTATTGAAATTTGTGCTTCGGTAAAATATAATTTCTCACATTAGACATTCAAGGTATAAATTCATAAACAAATACATCGAACCATTTTAGATAATAAATGTGATGCTTTGTAATGTACAACATTAACAAAATACTTGAGAAATTACCTAAAAAAGTACACAGCTAAAAATACAAAACACACAGTACACGTGTCATTCGTCATTTGCTTTTTAGAATTGTATAATTAGGACTCGGATTTATTTGCATGAGCTTACTTCACTATTAACAGGCATTTCATGCATTATCCATCACAAAGGGTAATGGACAGAGTAGGAAAATAAATAAGTCGCAGCTGGAATTAAACGTTCACTTACTCGGTCATCAAATTTGCAATCCGAAGGCAGTCATTCTTGTCATAGAACCAGATGCCATGTATGGATACTGTATCACAAAGTTAGAACAAACAAATGATATTAAATGGCCTATAAAGAGCATTTTTTCAGTGTGAATTTTCCTAAAAAAACTAAAATCTCTACATCAAAACCCAATAACACATTGAACCCATTTATTACAAATGTGTTGGCTTCGGGTGACCTTTGACAGTCACACATGACATACATAAAAAAATTCAACCTTCAATCACCAACATTTTTTTTTCTCAGAAGATACATCTGTCCTTGAGCTGAATATATCTTTTAATACCACCCAGCCACAGCAACTATGTGCCAGCCAACGTGCCTGCAAATGTATTTTTAGTTGCAGGCAGCACACTGCCTAAATCCCCATTGTTATTGTTGCTTTTGTCGAAGCCATATTTGAACAAGTGCTCACTCAGTTTAACCTTTATTATGAATATTATGAAGTGCTCACTGTTAACAAAACAAACACCAAGGATTTGCAGGGCATTTGTTTTTTTTTCAATTGAGGGCTTTACTTTTACTTAATGTACGAACTTCGGTTTGTAAAATGACCAGTTACGTTTGCTTGTGTTGACATACATTTATCAGCTGTAAACATACATGTAAGAGGCTTTAAAATACATTTGTAAAAAGCACCATTCGATTCGAAATCCAAAGTTTCAGTAAATGTACATTCTGTTACAAAGGTTGTTCTTTTCAAACATCAAAACTTTAACAAGACATTAAAACCAATGCTTCCCAGTGCTTATGAACACACGAGCAAATGCATATTAATGGTGTGTGTGAGTGAGATAACAAATAATTTTGGAGTTTCCATTCTATTGACTGTGATCAATTGGTCCAAATGGCTTTGCCTTTTTTGGAGTTGGGCTGTTTGGGATCACGTTGCATTACAACACAACCATCTCCCAAACCCTGGCACCACAAATTACCGTCAGTCATCAACTATCGCTGAACGTCTACTCAAGCCTCCCGACGTTAAAAAGGGGACTGACCGCAGCTCAAGTAATATGTAACACAATGAGTACACTGGACGTCAGGCACAGGAGTTATTCAATGGAAGTGGAGTGCAAAAGAATTAAACCTCGATGATACTGGAACACCGGTGTATCATTCATAACAGGTGATATACAAAGATTCCGACGTGGATGCTTCAAGTGTTTCAATTCTTCTGTGCGACATGGATGCTTCAAGTGTTTCAATTCTTCCGTGAATGGTGCACAACTGGGGGGCAGTGTAAACAAGAGTAAAATGAAACGTGAAGGATACTGCTCGTGCTTAACTCCGCTGATGTGACTGCTACTGATGGAAGACCTTCACAAGTGGACTCTACGCCAAAGAAAGTGGTGCTACGTGGATTTTTTTTTTCATTTTTAATGCCAACAGGTTTTGCTTGTTCTGGGATGCTACGATTCATCTCAATATATGCCGACAACTAAAGTATTCAGTATCACGGCAATAACTTCAAATATGAGCATTCGTAGATTTAGCGTGCGCTATTTAAATCTGTACTGCGACACAATGTTGGAAGATCAAAATTTTTACCTTTCGAACATAATCGAAAAAACACACAGACTGCTGGAAGATAATACTCTTGGTTTGGAGCATAACAGAGGTAAACACTTGCCTACATTACATATTCACATTTCTGCTTAGATAAGAAATTACATGAAATGTTATTTGTTTTCCTGAGTCATGCTGTTCATTTGGTTTATACGTCCGATATGCTTGTCGAAAGGATCCAAAAAGCAACCTCCATTCTGAATAAGTTACACAATGTAAAACTATGAATGGATATCACACTGGGTTAAATTGTAATTAATGTAGTTAAATCAACTGATTTTAGCTGCACTTAAAAGCAATGCAAATAAATCAGTGAACATTAGAAAGAAGAACGGGGTGTCTTTTGAAGTTACATTCCACAAAGTGTCTAAAAATACACGTGCTTAGGCACACAGCTGCTGCCAAGTCAACTCATCTTCAAAAAATCTCATTAAGACGTAGGACTTCCTACACACAATATACTACTACATAGGATGTGCATGATGCACATCTACACACAATCACAGTGCATGTAGGTATTAAAACACTTTACTGCACCGTGTAAATTATCGATGAACTTAAAGGGAGGTTCCTATATGTAAGTAAATTGACCATCCTTATCAGAGAGCACAATGAGAATTGCATAGAAAGTAATAACAGAAAGCCACCGATATATTTTTTTTTGTTTAACGCCTAAAAGTGCATAAATAATTTAATGATATAGGCCAAACCTACCCTTGCAATTGGATGAAACATGACAAATTCACTCAAATTTGTTCCAATATTTTTTTGGTTTGTGCGGTCTCATTTATAAATAATTTTATTTGTTCCAGTTTGGTTGTTTCATTACATTTGTCACATGAAAGTAAAATAAACATATCAGTTACACAAATCGTAAATGGTCAATTATTACATTACAATTTGATGCGCCATGAGTGTAAAGATCGATTTGAACTCGTGAACGGATGAACCTTCACATGTCTACGCTGCAGTTGAGCCACCAATTAAGATACAGCTTTTGATTTATCTGTGGTTCATGTCCACTCAAACAAGATCTATACAATGAAGTTCACTCTGTATAAGACTAGTGAGCAGAGTACCATGTGTTCCAATTCGTGCCTTCCTCGTATAAATAAACGAATACCTGCCCATTATATAAACATTTGACCCACTGAACCAGCCAAGGATGACGCACGCGTCGTGTGTCCCTGTTCACCGCGGGATTTAAGATGCACTCAGGACAGATGCTTACAGTCTGCAATCCTGTAAAGCAGGAAAGGATCCTGCAGCTTGAAGTCCAGATCTTTTGTGATGGGCTGGATCAGGTTGTCCATGCTCAGCCTGTTCATTATTGTAAAGCCATTGTGAGGGGATGCAGACCTGTGACAGATTTACACCCACGCATTATACAAATGAAAAATAACATAGCAGGCCGGGTGTAGAACTTTTCTAAATGATCAATGGTCATCCTTTAAATTGACGAGGCCAAAAAACACTGTTAATCGTATTATATACTTTCATTGTTATAACCTGTCACTCAAATAAATGTGTTGAGGGATGTTCATATTATACAGCGAGGTAATTCCCACGACGTGTTGGTCATGGGGAGTTGACCATACTTCACCACAATAGTTGGTTGGTGAAATGAGGGGCAGTAACAGTGCAGATATTACTTGGCAATTATGCTAGCCATGGTTGGGAATGGAACTTAAGTCAACGGGTTCATAGCAGAGCACCACCGTGCCACGACTCCACCAAAATAATATAGTTGATTAAATGTATATATATAGAACTGCTGTGATATGCCCAAAATGTATAGTGACTACGATCATTTTATTGAACTTCAAATGTCCATATTATTCACTCCAAGCATATTCAACTCATGGTTTTCAATGTCTTGAAGATTCAATGTGCGCAATCAAAATTATAATCATCCTTTGTTATAACCAAATAAATTAAGATAAACAAATATATTTCAAGGCATTCCTATTTATCATTAGTATGTTCATGGAGCTTGGCCCCATTGGCATTTACCCCCATGTTATACAGCTACATAAAGCAGCTAAAGGAACCCATCATAATTGAGAACAGATTGCTTGTGCAAATAAGATTCATTGTAATTGGATTATATACTTTAAAACATAGAGTAACTCTGCAACGCACTGTACTATAACAAATCCATTTAACAATGCAACCACCAACAAACGTACTAGACGATAATATAACCAGCATTGTGCTTTACAAACACATGACTAATTATCACTACAAATGTACAGCCCATGTGTTGTCATGTCTTTTTTTACATTTCTTTTCGCGTGCATTTATCTTAATGGAGGTTTATTCTGGGTTAAAGCGCGTAAATATAAATGCGTGTGTCGTTAAGTCCGCCACCACCCGACACAGCCAATTAGTACGGTGTGTCATGTAAACAGAACATGCTAAATCGTTACTAGTACATCACACCTGTGTGCTGGAGAGTAAATCCACAGCATTTACAATTTGATTGCGATATTTCGCCGCTAATTACAACTAGCATCATCAGGCGACAAACATTTATCTAACCTGCATACTTTTCAAAAGAAATAAAACTATAAATATATTCTTCAAATTTAAATCAATATAATGTAATTAAACCCATACACGAAATTGCTAAAATGACAACTATTGACCGAATATGTACTTTTCAAAACATTTCAGCTACTTCGACAGGAATTAGGGCACTCGACAAAAACAATAAAAAACTAAATGTTTAAATTAATCCACTTTTAAGCCCTACAAATAATTTCAAAGACTCTCTCAAAAAAACGAGTAACAAATATTCTCTGCTCAATCGCCAGGCTGGCTGGGAAATCAGATCCGGTTCCACTGTCCTGAATGCTAATTGGGAAGCCTATTAAGATTTTAAGCCTGCCCCGCTGTAACGTGACCTTCACTACTGGCTTGCTCTAGTGCGATTTAAAATCTCACTGAAAACGAGGGAATTCTAGTGAAGGCCATCTTCATTACTGAATTAAGGGGCATCTTCTCGTGAGAACTTCGGTAAAGAGTATTTTTTTTTACACCTCAAAAGTCGTATGTCACTGCAAGCAAAGGAATTATTAGAGAGAAAAAAACAGACAATGTGTTCGCGAGCAACTAAAGAAAGTCGTTGATACAACTGATCAGCATTACAACTGGAAAATGCGTCATTGCAACTGGCAAAAGCGCTGTTAAAGGCAACATGCTCTCCATTGTAAGGTAAGAACATTCAACAATGAAACAGATTACATTACCCGTGTAACAATAATATCTTCAGCCTTGTATATTTTTTTCAAGTCTTATACTGTCCACTTAACAAAAACACTTTACCCTAAAAGAACGGTGTAAACATGAACATTTGTTGCATGTGTTAAAAGCGATGGCCTACGGTTAAATGTCATAATGGGTGTTGTGAAGGTAACGACTTACCTGGCATATACAAATAATGTACCTTCAACTTCAGTTTTCTCCTAAACAGCGAGGAAAATGGCATCTTGTGGTGAAACAATACACTTTTGCTGTACAACATTTTAAACAAGCATCTTCATGGCAGAAAAGTGACTTTCATAAATGCCAGCAATTATACGAATTTATGGCTCACATGAAGCTGCAAACCTTATTGTGTTTCTAATTTTATATCCATTCTAGTATAAGTATGCTTCACGGAGCAGAAACTTCCATTACACAGGTGCAATTCGCTATACTTTTTCTATCCTCCATTACAAAATCATCAATGCAGTCTGTGAAATACTGTACATATCGACGTATTAACGGACTACGTTCCAGTCAAATGTTGTACGTAACCATAAATAAAAAACTGCGTTACACAGTTTTTGGTCGGCATAATAAGCACGGTATCAGCACTAAGTTGATTTTTGTTTAGTTTGTATTGCTCATGTCAAATATCCCATCTTTAATTTCACGTTGCAAGCGTGTCACAAGTATATAGCGGACTTGACAATTACTTTTGCTTTTGTCACGATGCGTTTTAATGTCACGACAGTCTTGTCTGTAGCGCGTAATGTTCAATATTATCATCAGCCGCTGTCATTCTCTGTTGGATAAAGACCCCCCCCCCCCATGCGCCGCATTATCTGTAATTGCAAGACTTTTTGAACAAACTGCAATGGGGCAATATAGCACTAACATGTTACAGCTTCGCCACCGACCTTAGGCGTTAAGAAAGCCAGTCACACTGCTCAATGTCAGTTTAAGGCTCTGAGGCCAGTGGTGTAAATTCCAAATTCCTGTGGTAGAGTCGAGCCGATCCACATGAGTCACCGCTGACTTTCCACAAAACAGTACTCACTTTATCGACCTCTGAAACGTGAAAGACCGCGACCTAACATGTGGTCAAATTTGTACGCTTAATACAGTAACAGTGTACTGCACTAACTCTACTACAGTATATCCTTTTTTTGTTAATCTACTGCTGGATGAGGGCCTTCCTACGCAGTGCGGATGGTGGCGCGTATCTGACCATACTTCACCACGTTGGTCTGTGCGGGTTTGTTAATGAGCGGTGGGCTCACAGAAGTACAACGTCAACTTTACCGATGCTTCTCAATATAGACGTTACACTTTATTATCACGGAGACAGCAGAGTTTAGAAGTGTCGGTGATTGCCGGCAGAAGAGGTGGTGGGAGGGGGACGCTGACCATACTTCACCACGCTGGTCAGTGACAATGTCGATGAGACAGCAACCCACAACGCACGCAAAGCGATGCGCACTGCCGTTATGCAGTTACGGTGATCGTGGCGTGCTGGGTCTCTCCGGGGGGTGGGGGGGGAGCCTCCCTCGAACCTGGGCGAGCAGCCTAGGCAAGACCGAGGCTTCTCCGTCAACCCCGAGAGACTTGGCCCCAAGCCCTCGCAACACTCCTCCCGCTCCTCGCTCGTCACCGCCTCGGCGAACTCACCCACTCGTTGGAGGCCGTGTTGTAACTGTAGAGCGCGACCTGGCTGGCCACGTCCACGATGCCCGAGACGTACGGGTCGCGTTGCTGCAGCGCCGCCAGACTGATGCCCCTCACCCTGTCCGTGGCCATCTTTGTCTTTTAAGAGTCGCTGTGACGTCATCACACGATCCGCGTGACGTCGATTTATTGTGATTGTCCCCCCCTCTTCTCCCCCGACGTCATAACGAGAACGCGCGTCGCCTGGTTGACGTCATCGCGAGCGTAAACAAATAATCGATCTGACGTCACACCGCACGTAATCGTCACGCTCTGGCGTGTAATTAGGGATGAGTCTCATATGTCAGATATTGGATGTGATGAACTTTTACAACTATTTCGGATATTTTTTAGGACTTTGGCATAAATTTCCGAAAATCGGGCCTGGATACTAAATGTCGATGCGTTTTGTTTACGATAGATCCTAAACATGTGGAAAATAGCTTTATAGCTCATCGGATTCCTCCAGTATAAATATTATGATTATAAAGTACAATACCTGCATTTTTGCTTCCACGAGGTAACGTCACACCACACCTCCAGAAATGGTATTTGTCCATTATCATAAATTCAGTTTCATTTCTAATTTCTCCATTGGGGCTCCTATAATGTTAATTTGCAGACTTTGCTTATTACAGAAATCTTCATGTCACTGTTGTATGCAAACGAGGATATACCCCTATCTCCTGTTCAACACTTCAATGACAAATCTACCAACCATCCTTTTATCTCTTGATGGCTACATCCGATTAGCATGGTTGCCTACGTACGGTGCAAAAGACGTTCAACATACATGCGTACAAATCTCTCCTGACGTCCTCTTGTGGCTAGCAGAACTTGACTAGCATTTAATAAACTTAACTTTTTATTTGACCAGGTAAGGCTCACTGAGCTAAATAGCTCTTTTTCAGAAGTGACCTTGCCACAATTGATAGCTGAACAAATTGGCTCATTGTGTGGAAATTTATAGCAGCCAAATACTCTAAACGCGTGATGTTGATTCTAAATGTTTATGGAAAAACCGGAGGACCCTAAGAAAAATGGACGTGACCACAGGGAGAACACGCAAACTCCAAATATGCAAGCGTCAGGGTCGGGATCGAACCCACGACCTCCAGTTTACCAGGCGAGGTAGTTAACATTTTAAAATCGTGGCGCCTCTTTTAGCTCCTGAACATATTTCCACATGTAAGAATAGAATATAATCTCTATTTACCAACTTTTTGCATTGAAGGTACTTTGCCGTCATCTGGAAGTTCGTTAATTTCTTTATAGATTTGGCATAATACTGCATCATCATGGAATGTAGTAACCTCAAGAACCGTAATAATATAGCTGGGCCTGTAGATTATAAGTACTCTTGAATCCTAAAACTCTATGCCTGATGGCTGAAGTGATTCAGAATTTCACTCATTCATTATTATCTGTCCCCCTATTGTAGAAAAGCTTGCCACTATTAAAATGTAAGCAATTATTTCTTTCTTCTCAGCTCACCAAGTCCTCTATGTACCAATCTGGGCTGCTAGATTGGTCAATTTAATACCCAATTGTTTTTTTTAAGCTGCTGCGCGTATACAATTGCTTTTGTTCGATTTTTTTGTCCCCTGCATTGTGTGCGATGGCAGCGTTTTGATTCGAATGGACAGACCTCAGATAGTCAAGACGTCTCTGTCCTCATAAAATTCAACACAGTGATCACATAATCTGGCCCGATGCAAGATACAGCATAGACAACCACGTGGGCTATCGCTAACTAAAATAATCGGTCATTGTATTGGCTCCAAAAACCTAGTTTTAAAATTACAAACAAGACAGTTATCATCAGTAATCAATGGGTCAGGATAAATTAGACGAAATCTAAGCAACATATTCAAATTCCAAAGAAGCACAATCATTAAATGGATGGAGCCAGTTTAAATAATATATGAGAATAATAATGGGCAGTTCACTAAAAGTTGTGGCAAGGTAAACAGCAAAGAGTACGGATTATAATTATCTGAAATCACAAGAGATGATGAAGAAGAGAGATTTGGCATTAATTCAAACTATTATAAAAAGCACAACAGAATATAGTTTGCAAATGGCTGATGAAGGGTAATTGAAAACGTATTATTTTAAACGCCATCGATACTGATGGTAGTGATCAACTAATATTTAATGAAAAAAACAATTGGCCACACATTCGGCTGGACTTATTGGCCAATTGCAGCGCTGCATAACACACATTCATTTTGCTGGCCTATTGCTAGGCAATGGCAGACCATGGCAACTCCATGGATATGTGTCGGCTACTATACAAGCTTTACGCACATTATTTACAAATTTACATGAAACGTAAATGCAGTTAATTATATTTAGTTCCCGAGCAGGTGGTCAAACTCTTTGCTTAGTTGGCCTCTCTGGGCAGGTCATTTTGGTTAGGTGAGATTGGAGCTCAGTGGGTAGAAGTCTGGGTCCTTGGCGGATGAATGGGTGTTACTGCGTGTGTATTTTTTTAAAGTCAAACATTCATCAATTGACCATTCAAAACAATACAGAAAAAATAGTATGATACGGTTAAATAACGTATATATTACGTGTTATGACTTCCAAACTCATTGATTTCTGTGTATTTCCGCATGTATGTGTGTTCGTATCAGAATGGTGGTGCAAGGCCTGGCTGTGGCTAATATAAGTGGCAAGTGATATCTGAATGTGTCTGAGGCCTCCCTTAGGTCAGCTCAGCCTTAAATGCATACCCAGTGTGGTATGTACAACTCAGCACTATGGAGAACAAAGGCCACATTATCCACTCAAGTGGCATTCTGGATTTAATAGGTGCTCGCAAATAGCAATTGCCCAAAGAGTCTGTAGGGCAACATGGGGTATGTTTGTCATTGAGTGTTTGTGCGTCTGTATATATATGCATTTCAGTTTGTGTGTATCTGTGTATGCAGGACAAGTTAAAGCTTTTCAACAATAGACTCCTAAGTATGGCTTTATTATAAAACCTACAACAGAGCATCTGTTGAAGCGTTGTATTGCTTAGCATCCGAAAATACTGAGAATTTGAATAACGTGAAACATTTATCAAATCCCCAACGATCCCATCCATTTCGAATAACATTTCTCACACAAAAAAAATTACGAACGTATATATTTTCAAATCAACACTAAGAATGGCACATTCATTTTCAACAATGCAATCCCCGCTAAAACTTATCATCATTAGCAATCACATTACGGCGCACAATGGGTGTATGTGAGCGCACCTGCGGAATTGAAATGCAATGCATTTACCCCATGTGAAATGAATGCAACGACGCATGATCCATCTCTCAGTGATAACACCCTTAAATGTAATTGCATCGCACTGGAGACGTGCATTAAAGAGCACGGGATATTCCACGGGGACATTGCTCAACGCTCCCCCATTATCCTGGCCGGTTAACTGTTTGGGATTTACATTTTAGAGCATGTGTCAAGTGAAGTGTCCCCGTGGGAGTGAAATGGGATGCTGTTGAATGCACGGGATGACCTGCAGGGGACATGGCAACCCTGCAGTGTTTCTATTTACTTACGGTCTGAGTAAATGTTGCGCAGCGAGCAAACCCAGTAAGTTTGGGATTTTAAAAAAGCAATCTTAATAAATCACCAATGCTTTCCTCCCAAGGTTCTGGCTTACAGGTGTATATTATCTTCCCTATCATTGTCGTAGCTGTCAAAATCACTCCCATCATCATCAGCAGCAGCAGCCATGGTCCATCTACTGCCCGATGAAGGCCTTCCCGAGCCATCATCATCTCTTACGTTGCACATTATTCTCTTGAAAATGTATACAACATTCAAGAATTACGCAATTATCTAGTTACCCGGATGTATATGTGTTGAATGGACACTAACCATTAGAACAGTGGCCATTGAAGCTGCTGGAAATACCAAAACCGAAGAAAACGGCAGTGGTGGGTCAGGGCAGAACACCAGAGGAGGGGTACGGATTCAGGGAAATGGTCATTCGGGTAAGTGGGATGGCACTCCAGAATGTGTTGCTTTAGCGCTTTGCGGATAATAACATAACGTCAAGGCAAAGCAGCTGTTTCAGCGGTGAATAATAAAATCAAACTATATTTAGATCAATCAGCCTTTGGGATTTTTGTGGCAGTTTTTTTTTATTGAAGCGGGTAAATTGTTGACCTGCTTGGACGTTTTTGAGTCTCATTGGCAGAGAGTGGATTATGAAATAAATGCTGCTGGGTTGCCTTACGTAATGAGCAAGAGCCTACCATGTACCCTGGGGGCCCCATTCAGTGCAATGCGGGAACAGTATTCAAATCTCACACACTACCATAGCTGGTTAACCAGTTGGTTTTGGTTAGGGATAGGGCTAATACGAGTTGCTGATGGTTAGTTAGCAAACACTCCATATTTAAGACGTGCATTTACATTGTATTCGTATTTCAAACATAACATCAAAACAAGAACAAACATTTTTAATGAAAGTTTAGCGAGAATGCTGTGAATATAAATTCAAAGCGAACTTTAAATGTTCAGCAACAAGAGATTTAAACATAAAGTAAAAAAGAGAAATAAAAATAATACGTTGAAAACAATAAAAGCAAAAAACCCACGACGTTTCGATCGCAACACAAGCGGTCTTCATCAGGCGTGGTTTTATTTTATTGTCAATTCATTATTTTTATTTAACTTTATTTGTTTATTTTCAGTTAATTTATTTTGATTTTTTTCATATTTACGTGACTTTACGTTTCTAGTGTTTACACTCCCGTCACCAAATGTACCGCATGCGACCCCCCACGTTACACGGCACGTATACTGGCAACGCATATCTCATGTGAGACGTGCACTCCCGCAAGCAAAACAAACGTCACCGCCTTTTCGATTTAAAGCTTTCGTGACTGCAAGGATTCATCTTCTTTGGTTCTTTCGGTAAAGTCACCGTAGAATGAGAATAAAATCATAAAATAAAACAATACAATTCTCACGACGTTTCGGCCACAACACAAGTGGCCTTCTTCAGGTGAAAGGAGCAAACCTGTCGGGACTACAGAGCTCCAAATGAGTAGTCCCGACAGTCCCGACAGGTTTGCTCCTTTCACCTGAAGAAGGCCACTTGTGTTGTGGCCGAAACGTCGCGAGAATTTGAT